AACGGGCGTGGTTTCCCACCTGGTCCTGGCAGACCACCTGTTCGACAAAACACTATGGGAGGCTATGGTCAAGGCCAAAATTTTCAGCACCAGAATCAAAGATATATGGATGATCGTGGCCATCCACAATCTGATCAGGGATATGGTGGACCTGACCCAGGATTTGGTCCACCGAAGAGAAGTGTGACGGCGCCCATTAACCCACAATATCAAAATCAAGATCAATATCAAGCTCCACAGGATTATTCTCAACATGATTATCCGCAGCAGCAACAGCACTATCCGCAGCAACAGCAACAACAGCAGTATGAACAACCACCGCCGCCACCAGCAAAACCGCAGCAGCAGTATACTGCCTATAATCCTGCGCAGCATGGAAGTATTAATCCCCCTTCAGCTCCTCGAGCAGCAGCATATTCGCATCTCCAGCCGCCGATACAAGAAGAAGGGTACAACAGAGAGAGTGTGGGTGCTCTGTTAGACTCATATTACTATTCTGAGCAGAGTGATGGGTATCAAGAAGTTGGGACAATGGATTATTATGGGGATCAATCCGGACATTCGATAGATCCCTATCAAAACGGCCAGAGCAACTATACACACCACCCTAATTTTTCTCAACAGGCTCATCGGACTAGATCACAACCTGATTTGCGTGGCCAGACACGAGGGGGACCAGCTCCGCCAATGCCCATGAATGGTTATGCAAATGGCAACCACTATCAGAATGGAGGGCAGTACGACGGGGCTCGCGAAATGCCTGTGGAGATGCAAGCAGATATCCCATCGGAAATGCCAGGGGACTTCCCCCCAGAAAACCCTGTCCCAATGACTGCAAACGGATTCCCGCCAGCTCCTCCACAATCTAACATACCGATGGTTTTGCGAGTTGGATCTCCCGTACCTGCTCAACAGCGGCAAATACAGCCTTTCCCGCCACCAAAGCAGCAAAACACATTTCCACCACGGGCAGCGTCAATAAAATCTAATCCTACCCCAGCATCCGATGATGCACTCCCATACCATCCGTCTCCAACGTCTGCCCGATTCTCATCAGATGTTCCAAGATTTTCGTCAGAGGGGCCACGGTTCTCATCAGAGGCCCCACGCTTCTCGTCGGAGGCCCCGCGGTTCTCGTCGGACGCTCCACGGTTCTCATCGGATTCTACGAGACCTTCACATCCTGACAGTTTGCCAGCTCACCCGGTCCCAGTTCGGCTGGGACTTCTTCAGCAGCAGGATAAATCGTCTCTTCCAGGCCATCCTCCACCGAGACGACAGTACTCACCTGAGGGTAATGGTGCCAAGGGTCGAAGAGGGTCTGCGCCAGCGCCTATCACTCAATTTGACTTGAACCAGGCCCAACAGTCCGCAAGGGCAAACCCTGGTGATCAAAAGCTGCAGCTACAGCTTGCGAAAAAGATGGTTGAGGCTGCATCTGTTTTGGCGGATGAAGGTGGAAGAGCGGATGCAAAGACAACAAGGAAGAACAGGGAGAACTTTATTTTTGATGCTCACAAAATTATCAAAAAGCTTGCAAATTCGGTATGGGTTTTTCATTTTCATTTTCAATTTCCATCATTACTCGGGTTAGGGGGATTATTGGGTTTTTGACTGACAAATTGTGATGCTTTTCCCTTTGTTTTTGTTGATTTTAGAGTCATCCTTATCCTGATGCGATGTTTTATCTTGCAGAATGTTACTGGGAAGGCATGTTGGGGTTGCAAGTTGATCGCGAAAGAGCGTTCAATCTTTATCAATCTGCAGCTAAGCTTAACCATGGCCCCTCTGCTTACAGGACTGCAGGCAAGTGATCCTTGGTTCCCTACTAGTTTCGTGAGGCTAACATTATTTTCCTGATTAGTATGCTGCGAGCTTGGAGCCGGAACAAAAAAGGATCCCCTGAAGTCAATTACATGGTATAAGAAAGCGTCTGCGCTCGGAGATACCGCAGCCATGTACAAGCTCGGTACGTATGCCGATATGCCGGAAAGCCGGAAGCCGTTGAGGCATTTCCCCGGAATATCAGTAGTGGAACTAACGGTTATTTCCCCCAATAGGAATGATCATGCTGAAGGGACTTCTCGGCCAAACCCGAAATGGACGTGAAGCAATTAACTGGCTGAAGAGAGCAGCAGACCAGGCCGACGAGAACAACCCCCATGCGTTGCACCAGCTGGCATTGATCTACGAGGAAGCTGATCCTAGCGATTTTGTCATCCCTGATCAAAGTTACGCCCGCGAGCTGTTCATGAAAGCTGCCGAACTTGGATACCCACCTTCGCAATTTAGGATGGGGTGTGCTTTCGAGTATGGGGCTATGGGCTGCCCTATCGATCCCATGCAGAGTATTGCGTGGTATAGTCGTGCTGCGATGCAGGGCGAGGAGGAGAGTGCGATGGCATTGAGTGGATGGTACTTGACTGGCGCAGAGGGTGTTATCCAACAGAGTGATACTGAAGCCTATCTGTGGGCTAGGAAGGCTGCAGAACGGGGTTTGGCGAATGCTGAGTACGCGTTGGGATACTTCACTGAGGTTGGGATCGGTGTCTCAGAGAACTTGGATGAAGCCAAGAGGTGGTACTTCAAAGCTGCTAGTAAGTCTTTAAAGCACCCCATCTGTCATATTACAGTGCCCCCCCATTATTGTGTTGATTCGTGCCACTGACTTATCGGAACTGTAGGTCAAAATCACGAGAAGGCAAAGCAGAGACTCCAAGAGCTCAAAAAGGGTGGTGCCGCCGTCCAAAAGTCTCGGGAAAGACTGTCTAGGTCGAATGTGAAGCACAAAGACGATGGTGACTGCATCATCATGTAAATAAATCCCCTTTGGAAGAGTAATTAGGTGACGAGTGATGAATCATGACGCAACCTAATCTCCCATCATGACTTTCAATTTTTCATTAGTGTTGTTATCTTTCTATCTTTTGTTATTATTATTCCTTGTTGTCGGTGTTGTTGTATGGGCGTCTGGGTTGAGGTTGATTTCTTGGATGTATTACTATTACTCTTATGATACCATACTTTATTATCGATGGGCGCATGCTGTTTTTCGGTTTTGAAATTGAGTGGAAAGAAAAGTCAATACATGTATCTATGTGGTGCAGATCAATTGAAAGACCATTTAGGAGCAATGGGTCTCTTGTTATCCAGTAGAGGAAAAAATTCTGTGCTGCCGTCCGTTAATATTTCAAGCGATGAATAACGGGGTTATCCGTATGTATTTTTTTTTTTTTTTTTTTTTGAGTACTTTGATTCCGGCTGTACCTAGATGATATCTTGCGATAATCGCTGGATCCTGCCACGAACAGAAAGATTTGGGCGCCAGCTTGTGATGGGGCTTGCAATGCCCGGTAATAAGTGAACTTTCGTTGGCTGTTAATGATGCTGCCTGTCCTGGCCTTGCGGCGTTTTCTGTGGCTCTGAAATGGACAGTGAGTTTGCTTCTTGGTCTGATCTGTCCGGGGATGCTATTTCGGTCTTCTTCAAAGCTGTAAGTAGGGTTAATGACTAAAACCTTCTTGTATATGGTCGCCTTCCGATGGTGTTGTAGGAAATAAAGATCTTGAGACGTGTGATGTGATGATGGTTCGGGGTGGTGGTTTGAAAGTGATGGTTTAGGGTGCCTATGCTTTGCTGCAAAGAAAAAGGATAAAAAAAAAGTGATGGCAGTTGTGTCCTTGAGCCCAACACGCAGAGGAGAATAGTCTCGCACCAGTGCTAGCTGTAACAAGACTGCGTGAATGATACTGGCGGAGAAATGTAGAAATAAACCAAGGTGGGTTGAAGACTCTGAGGTCCCAACCATGGACACCCTATATAATGTATGCGTGGACGGCGAAGACAATCTTGTGTCTTAACGTCAATGAATAGAACCTGTCGTTCATGAACGACATACACACCCCAAAAACCTTTGGCTTGCAAAGTCTCATCCTTAGGTCGATCATGCTTACATGTTTCCCGTCAGCTCTGTATCAAAGAAACACCCGAGATTTTGCCCCAGAATCAGCGCCGTGGGAGTTTGGGATTTTGTTGGGTGAGGTTTGAATGTATGTACGTAGGTAGCTTGTGGAGGTCGCTTACCATACGCTTTGTTTTATTTGCTGGGTAGATTGATCCCATCTGAACAATGTTGTTGAAGGAATCAGAAGGATAGCCGTACTTACAGTCATTCGATAAATGCGAAAAACAGCCCATTTTAAAAGTTACCCATACCTACAATCGGCCTTGGCGTCCAATCCAAATATCATTTCTGGCCACGAACACACATGGGCGAGTGGCCTACCGGTTATCACTCGCCTTCCGGATACACCGCGAGGTTGTGCTAGGTCTTCCCACAGAAGGTCCATGGTTCAATCCAGGGGTGGGAGTAGTAGATATGGCGGCGACCATCAATGCTACTTTTTGTATGAAAGAGCTGTCCCAACTTGTCATGTGAACACCTGTCACTGCCATTTCAATTTCCGGCACTTGTCCGATCCGCGGCTATATAACTACATGCAGTATATGTAGCTGAATTCTTTGACGAGATCTCTTCCTACTTTTTCAGTAGATCGTAAGCTATACATAATTAATTAATTAATTAATTATTATTATTATTATCATTATCATCATCATCAGCAGCAGCAGCAGACCACAAGATCTAGAAGTGAGTGAGATCCCATGAAGAACATGTCCAACCACCATCCAAGAAACCTATGGCGCCATACCTAAGAGCTGCAATCCAGAATATCTATATTACCACAATCTCCACCGGCTCACCCGCCATCCAACACCCCTTAAGAGATGTATGTACCTCCCCAATACCTCCCCCGCCACCATCCCCCAGACCGAGTGACAGCCCGTGAACGGCAGCGGCTCAACTAAGGGTTAGGGGCCAGCCACCGCAACGCAACCAACCTCACCACCACACGCTCGCCCACCCCCCACCATCCCCGCCAAATCAGAATTCCCCAAAACACCTCCTACGAACTCACCCCCCCCAAATCAATTCGCCAACCATGGGCTGGTTCTGGCCCGACGCCCAACCAAACGCTGACAAGAACAGCTCCGACCCCTTCCACCGCCTCGACCCCCAAGTCCGCGAGTTCCTCCTCCGCGAATCCCCCCTCAAGCCCGCCCCCCCCACCCCCACCACCGCCGCCCCCAAACCCGCAGACCTCCCCACCACCACCACCACCACCACTACCGCCCCAGAGGCAGAGCCGAGAAGAACGGCGGCGGCGCCAACGCCATCAAAGTACGGCGACCGCTACGCCGACATCTGGGCGCAGTACCAATCGCCCTCGGCCCAAGACGCAGGGAAGTCTGCGTCCGAGCAGCTCACAGACATCATCAAGGCGTACCAGTGGCGCAAGGGCGCGATTGGGCGCGCGGCGCTCGAGAACTGCGCGAATGAGCAGTGGGCGCTGCATGATTGCTACCGCAACGGGACGTTCGCGGAGAGGATGACGGCGTGCTCGGGGAAGAGTAAGAAGTTGAATGATTGCTATGTGAGCCAGGCGGTATGTATTGCATCTCTCTGTCTCTGTTTTGTGGGGTTGGGGGGGGGGGGGTGAGAGGGAGTGGGGGGTGGGGTGAGGATGTGGTTTGTTTGTGGGAGAGCGGATTCTGAATTGTGTGGGCGGGTAGAACTTCTTGAGGGCTATGGGATACATGTCGGACTACAGCCGCGACCCGGCCGTCGACGAGAGGATCCAGATGCATGCCGATAAGCTGTACCAGGAGCAGGTCAAGCAGGACGAGATGGCGGCCGCGGCAAAGAAGGAGCCCTTCATCTCAGACCCGCCGTCATCTGAAGAGAAAGCTCTATAACATAGGCGTTAAATACTGCTACTTCTGGACATGAGCGCAAAAGAAAAATGTAATTTGTATCATGTCAATTGTTTTTTTTTTTTTATATTCCTTTTCTCTGTTTTTTTTTTTTAAATCTATATACATTCATAACGATCATTGGCGGATTGTACATATTATTTTCCCACTCCCACTCCCGCTCTCGCTATCATTGACCCACCGCCTTCATCCGGGCGGCCTTGAACCGGCTGACCTTGCGCTTCTCGCCGTCCTCGTTCAGCGGCACCATTGCGCCCTCCTCCTCACCCTCGACGAAGCCGCCCTGCTGCTGTATCATCTTTGTGCGCATGCGGTGGAACTCTGTGGCCACCTCCTGTCTGTGGATCGTGGGGTCCAGCTCATCCGGCGGCTCCACCGCTGCATTCGCGTCCGGTTCCCGCTCCTTGATAAAGTCTGAAACCGTAGGCTGGCCCGGCTTCTCATCCTCTTCTTCTCCTTCAGCGTCAGGTGGGTTTATCGTAGGCGTCGTGTTCATGAATATCGACCCCAGCGCACCAGTACCAGTACCAGCGCCAGCCGCCTTCGCCGCCATAAACCGCGACGGCTTCCTTGCCCTCGGTGGCTCTACAGGCGTCCCCGCTATGGGCAGCCCCGGCGGGCGCTCCAACACCGACGATGCCACAACCGACTCCGGCACAATGCGCTCCTGCAGCGGTGGCGCTGCAGTCTTCTCCGGCAGCGCGCTCTTCTCGGCCTTGAAGATGCTCGGCTTCTGCGTCTTGGGCGTCTCGCCGGCAATCTTGATCCCGGCCTTGCGCATCTCCTCCTTCCGGAGCTCCTCCTTGCGCATCTCGTCCATGGCTAGCAGGTCCAGCAGCAGCGGGATGGCGTCTTCTGTGTTGGCGGCCGACGGCGGCGTCGGGAATGGCGGGAGCTCTGCGGGGCTGGAACGGGGCTGGGGGGGCAGAGGGGCGATGTCGAGCTCTTTTGCGAACCGGACGCCCTTCTTCCCCGGTTTTGGCTCCTCCTCTTCCTCCTCCTCCTCCTCTTCCACCTCCGGCTCCGGCGCCACAGCCTCCTCCGGCACCTTCCCCCCACTCCTTGCCGCCTCCGCCCGCGCCGCGACCCGCCGCTGCAGCTCCTCCATCTCCCTCTGTAGCTCGGGGGTAATGACCTTATACGTCGCCCTGCCATACCCGTCCTCCTCCTCCTCCTCGTCGTCGTCGTCATCGTCAAAGTCGCTGTCCTCATACCCGTAGTACTCGCCCTCCTCGTCGAGGTTGATCTCGGCCACCACGGCGCCGATCTCCTGCATGTTGTACTTGAGCATGTCGCGGCGCAGGGCGGCGTCGGCCTCGGACTCGCCGGGGACGGACTGCACCCAGTCTTTCGGCGCGGCCTCGGGCGCGTCGTCGATGATGCGGACGTGGCCGCCGCCGTCTTCGGATTGTGAGGAGATGAGTTTGAGGTCCGGGGGCTCGCAGGCGTAGAGGGCGGCGTTGGTGAGGTTTTTCTGTGGCGCGGGGGCGGGGGCGGGGGCGGGTGTGGGGGTGGGGATTGTGTCTTGGGAGATGGCTTCGCGCAGGGGGGAGGGCTTCTTGGGCTTGTTTTCTCGTGGCTGTGGGGCTTTGGCGGATGTGGGTGCTGGTGTAGGTGGCGGGGGTGCGTCTTCTTGGGCGATGTCCACGATCTTTTCGAGGCCCTCGGTGTCGATGGGCTGTATGGGCGCCGTGGGGTCGTTCCCGTTGATTGTGGCAGCTGTGCTTTGTTAGTTCCGGGGGAGCGGTGGGGGGAGAGATGAGGTGGGGGTGGTAATTGGAGAGCACGTACTAACGACATTATCGTCCTCGTCGAGCTCCTCGCGGATGTCCATGATGGGCAGACCTTCCTCGTTCACGAGGTCGGGGCCCGCGACGACGAGCAGCGAGGCGAGCTTGGTCTCGCCCTTTTCGAGCTGCTTTTCGACTTTGGTGACGTTTTCTTGTACATCTTTGTAGTGTTAGGACTGTAGACTGCCCGGAGGAGAGAGGGGGGGGGGGGGATACAGTCGATTCGGTGGCCGACTGTGGCAATGACTTGGCCAAGTGTGCGTCGTTTGCCGACTTTGTCGCCGAGGAAGGTCTTGATTTCTGTGTTTGCCGTCGAGTCAGTATTCACACTCCCGGTGTCTGTAGAGCCAGACAGAGACAGAGACAGAGACAGAGAGCATACCCTTCTCATCCACCAACGTGCCCCCGAAATCTAATCCCACCGCCAGCTACCCCACTCAGCAAAGCCCCCCCCCCAATACCCATTCCGGGGAGAGTGAAGAGTGCAAACTCACCATATCCTCACGACTCGCGCCCTCCGGCAGTCCCTGCAGCTCCTCGCGGAAGGCCTCGTACTCGGCCGACAGGATCTGCCAGTGCTTGAGCGCCTTGCGCAGCTTTGCGAGCGACTCCTCGAGGCGCTGGCGGTGGCGCTCGATCGTTGGGTCTGGCGGGGCCGACATTGTTTTGTTTCTGTTTCTGTTTCTGTTTGTGGGCTGTGGGTTGGTTGGTTGGTTGGTTGGTTGGTTGGTTGGTGGGGTGAGAGTTAGGGATTGGGGGAGGGCGGGATGAAAGCGGAAGTAACCCTAGCCCTGTGGCTGCACTGCGCTGCACCGCGACAGAACGAGAGCGCGATATCACGGCCGGAACACTGCAAACTCACCACCACGAGACAGCCTCACACACGCTCCCGCAATCAATCAATCAAGCAAGCACGCAAGCAAGCAAGCATGGACCCCATGAAACGAGATGACGGCACGCCTCCCCTCTCCCTCCCTCCCCTCTCTGCACAGTGCAGCTCCAGCTAACCCCCCCCACCCCCCCCGCAGACGAAAACTGCCCCGTCTGCAAATCCTCCAAATACCTCAACCCCAGCATCAAGTTCCTCATGTCGCCCATCTGCTACCACAAGATGTGCGAGTCCTGCGTCGACCGCATCTTCACGCAGGGCCCCGCGCCCTGCCCCGTCATCGGCTGCGGCAAGACGCTGCGCAAGAACAAGTTCCGCAAGCAGACGTTCGAGGACGTGGCCGTCGAGCGCGAGGTCGACGTGCGCAAGCGCGTCGCAAAGACGTTCAACAAGCGCCGCGACGACTTCCGCGCCCTGCGCGAGTACAACGACTACCTCGAGGAGGTCGAGGAGCTGACGTTCAGCCTGGTCAGCGGCGTGGACGTGGCGGCCACCGAGGCGAAGCTGCAGGCGTACGAAGCGGCGAACCGCGAGCTGATCACGACGAATGCGGCCAGGGCCGCGGCGGAGATGCAGGCGGCGGCGGCGGCGAGCAGGCAGGAGGTTGATGCGGCGAGGGTGGCGAGGGAGTTTGCGGTGCGCGAGGCGGAGGAGGAGCGGCGCGAGGCGGAGGAGCTGAAGAAGCGGACGCTGGACGCGTTGGCGAGTGGGGATCGGGACGCGGCGAAGGTGATTCAGGAGGTGCAGCTGAAGCAGTCGGGGGAGCGGAAGAGAAGGCAGGCGGAGGCGCAGATGAAGCTAAGGATGCTGACGGAGGGGAGGAAGGACCTGTTGAAGAGCTCGCTGCTGGCGGGGAGGAGGAGGGAGGAGGTCGAGAGGGTGTGGGATCCGTTGGAGGGGGTGACGGATAGGAGTGAGCTTTATGTCGTGCAGGAGCATTATGAGAATGGGTATGTGTTTCTCTCTGGGGTAGTGGTTTCATGGTGTTGGGGGGGTTGGATGCTGACTTTTATAGATGGCTGGATAATGCGCGGAAGGATGTCGCGACTCAGGCGGGCGGCTACTCGGTGGGCGAGTACTGCGGGCGCTCGCTGTTTGAGGCCTTCTCGGGGCTGACGTTCTTCATCGACGAGGACGCCGAGAAGAAGGACGACGAGCGGAGAGCGCCCACGTTAACGGACCTGATGGTCATAGATGCGGTTTCGTAGAGAGATAGATGGCATGGCATAGTAGAGTGTTGCATTTTTTTGTCTTGAGTATAATTTTGTATATTAATAATCATTGGTGTTTGGGGCAGAGGCAGAGCGAGTGATGGGTGATGAGTGACGAGTGATCATTGACAGTGGTGTGGGGTGTATTGTGTGTTATGTAGTTGGGATGGTTGGGCCCAGCAGGTGGTGGGGGCAATGATTGAACAGTTGTTTTTTGAGAGTATGGTCAAGTATCCCAGCGACGGCTTTTGGCAAGTCTATTGAGCTACATCGCGCACGCCCACAACTTGATCAATCGCCATTATTTACCAGTTTACCAAAGAACAAGATTACAGTGAACAAGAAGAAGATCTAAAAGCAAAGCCAATCAATTACGCCCCCCGACTCATCCGAGCCACCCTCTGAAAATATGTAGCTAAAAAAAAAACACACTGGTATATACAGCTTCTCACTTTTCTCACTTTTCTCCCTTTTCCCCCTTTTCTCCAACCCACCCCCCTACCGACAACTCAACTCCCCCAACACCTCCCCCGGCGGCGTCGCCCCCTCCAACAACCACCCCACCACACGCCTCCCCCCCTCCCCCCACGCCAACGCCGCCCTCCACACCCCCACCCCGCCCATCTCCGCCCCCCTCTCCACCAGCATCCTCGCCATCCCCAACCCCCCATCCCCCCACCGCTCCACAACAACCCTCAAGCACTCCCCATCCCCCCTCACGCCCCCCGCCGCCATCACCACCCTCCCCACATCGCCCCTCCCCGCCTGCAGCGCCTGCAGCAGCGCCCACGTAAACTCCTCCCCCTCGCCCCCCCCCACAGTCGCCCCGCGCTCCACCAGCGCCGTAAACAGCGCCAGCTTCTCGCCCGTCCACGGCGCACTGACAAGCCGCAGGGGCAGCGCTGCCCCCGAGGCGTCGAGGCGGCCGAAGCGCGACTCGAACAGCGCCAGGAAGGGGGCCGTGAAGAAGCGCAGGCGGAAGACCTCGGAGAGGGCCGCGGCGTCGGCTGCGTGCGTGCGTAGGTGGAGGAGGTGCAGGTGCGGGGCGTTGAGTGTGTGCGTGAGGTGGCGGGAGGCGGCGGGGAGGGCGGTGTTGTGGCTGGACTCGAAGATGCGGTAGAGGAGCTCTGCGGGGAGGGACTCGAGGGGGGAGAGCGCGGGTGGGGTGGGGGTGCGGGGGCGGGTGCGGGTGCGGGTGCGGGGGCGTTTGTTGCTGGTTGTGGTTGTGGTTGTGGTTGTGGTTGTGGTTGTGGTTGTGGTGGTGGTGGGGTGGTGCTTGGGTTTGCGTTTGCCGGGGGTGCGGGAGTGCAGGTTGCGGCCGGGGTTGATGAAGCCCATTGCAGTTGTCAATAAGACTGTACTCGATCGAGGTATAGAAGGCAATCGGTATATATCGGAGGTGTCGATTGGGATGCAGACAGCGGGGCAGAGAAGCGGTAGCAGCAGCGGCAGCAGCAGCAGCAGCAGCAGGCATGCGCGGAGACGTGGAGGCGCGGGGTTTCTTTCCTGCTGCTCTTTTCTGTGCTGCGGGGGCGGAGAAGATTTGGGAGTCCTGGCGTGGCTTTTGTGTGCAGGTACGCTGGTGCGGCCTTGGCGAGGGACTGGAACGGGTTGGCGGGTTGGCGGTTGAGTCGTGGAGCTGATCAATCAGGTTGGGAAGCAATTGGGCTGCGTGGGTTGTGAATGTGAAGTCTTGGATCAGGGCTTCAGTTCAGGCACGAGAGGTGCAGCATTAACAGGCAGGCTACATGCACGCATCGGTCTCTCTCCACTGCACGGGGAATTGCTTCGATTGGCTGGCCAGCACTACACACAGAACAGGCACATACATGTAGCTATAGATCTTGTCCGTGGGCCATCACTATGCATCTAGCTCCAGCCATCCCACCCCACACACATCCATCTAGACAATCTCATCCATCCCACCCCACACACATCCATCTAGACAATCTCATCCATCCCACCCCACACACATCCATCTAGACAATCTCATACGGGTCTCTATCCGCCTCGCTGACCGCCACGTCCACCTCCGCGTCCCCCGCAAACTCGCGGCCCTCGGGCGTGGCCTTGAGCCTTGCCCACTCCTCCTTCAGGACCCCGAGCAGCTTTGGCTTCATGACGGCCGCGAGGAAGCCGCGCTCGGTGTTTGTGTGGAAGCCTTGATAATGGCATTATATCAGTGCCCATTATATACTTCAACTGGGAAGAAGGGACGCACAGGAGATTGTGCTGATGCCGCGCTCACGCGCACCGAGGGCTTCGTGGTGCGAGAGCTCGCCCGTGAAGAAGAGGTCGACGTCGAGGTTCTTGAACATGGACCCGCCGGAGCCTGCGCACAGTGCGATCTTGCTGATCCTGCGGGACGTTAATTGCCACTCTCTGCAGCAGAGACAAGGACCAATGCAGCGCACTCACAATGCATCCCCAGAACTGTGGGCATCCCCAGAATCGTGGGCATCCCCAGAATTGTGGGCATCCGTCGCCGCAACCATCACTACACACCACATCAGCCATGCCCACCCGCCCGAACCCCCCACAACTACTCACAATGCTGCATCCCCAAATACGCCTTGACCCTCTCCACCAACTCCCCCAACCTCTGCCCCCTCTTCAACACCACCAGCCTGCCCATGCCCGAGCCCTCAAACCCGTCGGGCGGGGCCATGCTCTCCTCCAGCACCCTTCTACTCTCCTCGTTGCCCCTGCCGCCCGAGATGCCGTCCGCCAGCCAGTCGTTGACGCCGCCGAGCGCCGCGTCGACCGCCGTGTGCGGCGAGTACACGCTGATGCCCGCCTGCGCGAGGCGCAGCAGGCTCTCTTGCTGCGTGTCGCGCAGGCTGAGCGACTTGAGCGGCCGGAAGATGATGGGGTGGTAGGCGATGATCATGGAGCTGTTGGTGCGCAGGGCTTCGTCGACGACCGCGCGCGTGAGGTCGATGGTGAGGAGGATGGTGTGCGTGGCCGGGGTGGGGGTGGAGGCGCGGAGGGGGGCTTCGAGGAGGACTGGACATGGCTTTGGTTAGGGGTTTTGGTTTATTGTTTTTATTGTTTTACTGTGTATATATAGTAATGGATGGAATTGAAGCTGGAGATGCAGCAATTGAGAGACTCACGGCCCGTGTTGTCCCATGACTTGTCGGCGAGGGCTTTTGGATATCTACACCACCGAGTTTCAAAAGCGCCCCGTTAACAAAAGACTCTCCGAATCGAACGTATAATTGCAATTGCATCATATTAACTAAATACAGGAATATTGCACATACAGCTTCTGCACCGAATTGACAACCACCCGCACCAGCGGTGAGCTCCGAACTGTTGCTGCCATCTTGTGTCTCTGTTCTGTCTGTTCTGTCTGTTCTGTGTGTTCTGCCTGTTCTGCCTGTTCTGTCCTGCCTATCGCGAGATATCGAGAACTGTGGGTAATCAACAGTCGGTATATATGATATCACTTCACCCCCTCCCTCCCCTGCCAATGACGCCCGTGCAGATCGCAGAGCCGCAGAGCCGCAGCACCGGTTACCCTGCCCGCCACCCGACCCGGTTCCCAATTGCAATCAACCCATCCCCGAGAGCTCTCGTGATGCACTGCTTCCCGTCGCGTGCACCCGATCGAAGCACAGCACTCCCACGCGCAGCAGACGACGACCAACACTCACTCTCACTCCCCGATTAATTCTCCCACTCCGCCCGCCATGACCGCCACCGACGACCTCCTCCTCCTCCCCGCCGAGGACCGCCTCGCGCAGGACCTCAATGACGACACGCAGCGCAAATACGAGAAAGGCACTTCCCCCCCCCCCTCTCTCTCCCCAATTCCTCTCTTCCTTCTCCCCCAATCCCCTCTCCCCCAATCCCCTCTCCCCCAATCCCCTCTAACCAAATTCCCTCCCCTCTAACCCACCACTAACACACCCCCCCCCCCCCCCACAGACCGCAAAGTCGGCGAAGGAACCTACGCCGTCGTGCACCTCGGCCACGTGCGCGCCACGGGGCTCCCGGTCGCCATCAAGAAGATCAAGGTGTCGGCGATGCAGGACGGCATCTCCATGGACGCCATCCGCGAGGTCAAGTTCCTGCAGGAGCTGCGCCACGAGAACGTCATCCGCCTGCTCGACGTCTTCTCGTCCAAGAACCAGAACCTCAACCTCGTGCTTGAGTTCCTCGACGGCGATCTGGAGTTTATCATCAGGGACAAGGATATCACGTTTAATGGCGCCGATATCAAGAGCTGGATGGCAATGAGTCTGAGAGGCTTGTGGTGGTGCCATAAGAATTTCGTGCTGCATCGTGTGAGTAGCGGTGGAAGGAGAGTGCAAGAGTAACATAACTAACAGCAACCAGGATATCAAACCCAACAACCTCCTCCTCTCCACCTCCGGCCAGCTCAAACTCGCCGACTTCGGCCTCGCCCGCAGCTTCAGCGACCCCTACCGCGCCATGACCAGCAACGTCATCACCCGCTGGTACCGCCCGCCCGAGCTCCTCTTCGGCGCCAAATACTACTCCTCGGCCGTCGACATCTTCTCGCTCGCGCTCGTCTTCGTCGAGCTCATCATCCGGCTGCCGTACCTCGCCGGCGACTCGGACGTGCACCAGCTGCAGCTCATCGCGCGCTGGCTCGGCACGCCCACCGAGCAGAACTGGCCCGGCGTCACGAGCCTCCCCGAGTATGTGATTCCGAATAAAGATGATATACAGCCGGAGAGGGACCTGTATTACTACCAGCGGACGTTCCCGACGATTTCGCCCGCGGGGATGGAGGTGCTGTATGGCATGCTGCGGCTGGATCCGAGGAAGAGGTTGAGCGCGAAGGAGGCGCTGGAGGGGGAGTGGTTTAGGGAGGATCCGCCGCCGACGAGGCCCGAGTTGCTGCCGAAGAAGGGGGGCGGGGCCGGGGTGGAGAAGGTGGGCGCGGATTTGAAGAGGAGGGCGGGGTGGGAGGAGGGGGGGGGGGATGCGACGGAGATGGAGGGCGGGCAGAGGGGGAGGAAGATTGCGAGGAAGTTGGACTTTGGGGGGGGGATGTAGTGGTGGTGGTGGTTGGGGGAAGGGGGCTGGTGGGACCTTTTTTTTTTTTTTTTTTGTAGTGTAGTGTAGTTTTAGTTTTTAATTAATGATTGATATCCGTTTGTAAATTGTAGTTTAGAAAGAGATTGTTTATGATGAGACTTGAACATACATCCTCACAGATTCTCACTCGTCAATTTCCCCGGCCCTTGACGCCGCCGCTATGGTACATCTTCTTGCACATCCTCCGCAGCTAAAAAAAAGCCACTCAAAAATAACATCTCGCCACCGCTCTATATCCCGCCCGAACGTACCGGCCGAACGTCGAAGTCACGAGGACGGTCTGGACAGCGCGCGTAGACAAACTCTTTTAACCTACCTACCAATGCAGTTGTCCGTCGAAACCATATGTATCGATACACCCCCCCCCCCCCAGCACACTGCGGACGTGTGGGTACGGAGCGCCGAGCACATCAAATCTTCTATCAGAGATATCGTACCAGTGGAGGAGATTGTAGAAACCCCCCCCCCCCCCAAACCCCCAAAATAGCCTTCTGGGCGTACGTGCATGTGCTGCTAGCCAGTATATTCCAGCAGCCGCAACCACCGCATCGCCGTCACGGATCTTCGAGCCTTGCAGTTCTTTACTGCCAGGTTACTGAACGGACTCTGCCCCTACTAACCACACACATCTACAACCAATAGCCGCAAAGTAGTCCTACGTCGAAGATGCAGGTTTCTTGGCGCGAGTGATGCATCATGACGCACTTTCTCCAGAAGGAGGAGCTACGTGAGGTGAGAGGAGAGGAGAGGAGAGGAGGGTCTAGGTTTGCCCCATTTTTTTTTTTGTATCACTTGTGGATGGAGGGAGGGGGCGAAACGAAAAGCTACGTGGGGGGGGGGGGGGGGAGAGAACTAGAAATACCTTTACGCACATTCCTGGATAACAGGAAAGGAAAAGAAACGACACTCCAATGAAGGGAGAAGAAAGGCAGAGAACATGTAAATATCTACGCGGTGATAAAGACGGCTTTTAGACCTCGAGCCTCGGCAGCGTGCAGGAACTCGAGAGGGATAGAAAAGAGGTCATAAGCCCTTCTGTGAGCGGGGGGCAGAGATACATGTGATACCGGGGACGGGGAAGATATTCGCATTATATTAAGAGGAGAGGGGAGAGGGGAGAGCACGCACGATAACAAGAGGTTAGTGGGTCATGATGTACGTCGTGATAGATTTCATGCCATGGCAGCTCAGGGTTAGGTGTCCCTAGCTCGCTTTACCCCCACTCCCTTAAGTATTACTTCCGGGGCACTGAACATCTTGTGGGCGAGTGTAGTCTAGCGGTAGACAGCTCGTCTTACATGGACACCGAGTGGGTTGGGTCCCCATGGCCATCAGTAGGTCATGGGTTCAATCCCGGGGGTGGGAGCAGTACCTGTGATGTGTATAATAAAGCGGCACTGATCCCCGTATAAAAGTACACACGCAGCGAGACTTTTTGTTCTTTTGTTTTCAAAATTTATTGTCCACCTTCACCTGGGCCCCCGGAGCTTGCTGCGCCCTCCTCGTGGGGTTGGTTGGGTGTGGTATCGATTAGATCTCTGGTTTTTGTGAGGGGAGAGGCAGACTTACGTCTCACGGGGGAAGAGGGGGGAGGGGGGATGGAAGGATGCTCTCCTGGGGGGGGGGGGGGGAGTGGATAACAAAAAAACTATAAAAAAGACTCTCGCTCAACGCAGAAGCAAAGCTTTGATGCTCCTACGAGGGGAGGGAGAAACGAACAGAAAGAACACTTTCGCTCAACGCGGAAGAAAAGGGACAGGAACAGGCACAACCCTCCCCAAAAGGCAGAGTCGAAACAGTACAAAAGCCAACCCACAAAAAGCCAACCCCAAAAAGACCGAAATCTCATCACCCCATTCAGGGCCTCGGCCACGCCCAGGCACCCAACAGGGGCAAAAAAGAAGTCGACATTAAGCCCCTCCCCGCGAGAGGAGGGGCAGAGATAAAAAGAGCACTCCCCGTGAGGGGAGGGGCACCAAATTTCCCCCCTGTGGAGGCCGGACGCAAGAAATGAAGTCTTGCCCTATGATGGGGGAGGTAGGTAGGCTCTAACCCCCCGACGGGGGGGGGAGAGAAGATGGGGGTCGGAAGGGGGGAGAGAGAAGATGGGGGTCGGAAGGGGGGGAGAGAGAAGGTGGGATGTGCCCGCCCGTGAGAGAGTGAGGGAGGGAGGAGGATGAGGGGAGGAGCCTGTTGGGAGGCTTTTTCGAGCATGGTGGTGATGCTTATGGCGGTGGTTGTGTGGTGGTGGTTTGTGTTATGTTGGGAGGGGAAGAAAGGGAACGGGGGAAGGAGAAAGGAAGGGAGGCGGGGCATGGCTGTCGGTGCTAAGAGTATGTGCTAAGGTTGAGATATTGCGGTCGTTTACGCAGTTGATGGATCCGCGAATACAGAGAAGGGTGTTGACTGCGTCATAGAAAATCACTCGCACGCCAAGCCCTGTCTCTTGTTGGAAATATGGGCAGGAGTGAGAGGCATAGACTTGTGATCTGTCCGAATCCATCGTGTCGACACCTGTCGCTGCCATGTCGACACTTGTCCGATGAGTGACCAGATAGCTGGTTAGAAGGCTCTCCTAGCCTTGTCACTTAACTTCATATCTCGTCCTACTTTTCCGTCACCTCTTTCTCTTCAAGTGTATTCCCGCACGGCCGCTATTAATTGCACGAGATTTCTGTCGTAGCTACCCGGCTACCATACACGGTGGGGTGGCGAGTACATAGGAGGTTGCACCGACAGCGAGCGATAATACGTGACAGCCAGATTGTGACCACCACCGGCGCCCGGACATGCGGACAGTCACATACCGGGATGCCCTCGTGTACCGCAACACCCAACTATAAATACGCCCTCCTATCATTTTGTTTGGTCCACGACTGACCCGGCCGGGCGCACCTACCCATTCCCACCCACGCCAGAAACGCCCAACTCAATGCATAGCACAAAGCGGAACCGGGAGCAAGGCGGACCGGGAGCAAGCTAGATGAACCAGGTATCACTAAACTATCATCATCACCCGTACCGAGATTGGTTTGCGGGTATCGTTTTCGGTTCCAAACTCTGGTTACCGAAAGGCAAATTTCACTTCACTGTGTAACTATATGGAACCAGACAAAATTACTTGTTCAAGACTTTGATCAACTCATTACATCCTGATATAAAAGACCGACTAATTATAAAGACCGACTAGAGTAAAAAAAAGACCAGGAACCCAGTCCCCTCATTGCGCTATTGCAACTAAAAGAAAAAAAAGAAAGGAAACCGGAAAGCAGAAATTAATCGTGCTTGTCCAATCCGAGCGCACCCTTGATCTATAAACCCAAACCGTTAGTCCACCGAACAATTCCACAAAACTATCACTAGCTACATACCTTGTCCATTGGCCCATCGCGGGTCTGGTGGTCCTTCTCGCGGCGGGTCTTGTCAAACGCCTCCTGGGTGGTGCTCTTGTCGCTGTCGGGGTTGATTCCGGCAGCGGCGCGGTCGGTGGTGTCGGTGACGCCCTCCTTGACCCTCTGGGCGGCGGACTTGGAGTGGTCGGGAGTCTGCGTTTTGTTAGTGTCACTGTTTGTCTGTAGGCATTGTAGCGGGAAGTGGTGGGCTTACGATCTCCTCCTTAGCCTTGGTGGAGAAATCTTTGCGGCCGAGGTCAGACATTGTGGTTTGGTTTGGGCGGTTGAGTGTTTGGTTTTAAAAAAGAGTAGATTTGGTTTGTAGTGTTTGTGAAGATGTGATTGTGTGATGATGATGGAAAAAAAAGAATGCGATTGAGGGCGCAAAGCACGGTTTATATAGACCGTCGAGGCCTACATTCAGGAACCAATTTTCTACTTGTCGTGTATCTAGAAAACTAGCTATGACGTTTCAAATCTTGGATATTGCGATGTGCCATGCCAATATTGACGATATCCCCACAAAGATGTCATCATCTGCATATTCTACTCTAAACTAGGCAGCCCGTCAATCCTTGGTCGTGGATTTAAGCATCAACTGCATGAGCTCCTCCAGCTAGTTGGCCTAGCTAGCTATATCCAGAGTAAAATAGCTAGAATATTCTACTTTTAGTCTTGCAAGGCCCGCCATTCCCTGCCCCGAGCACATGTCAAAGAAAGGGTGCGTCGTAAACACTTCTCGACGCAGTTTAGACCCGTGCGCAGATCTCTGTAGCCTCCATACTGTATCATATCATGCGCCTGCGCTCTCTCTCAACCTGATATCAACCCAGTGTTGAAGGCCAATGCCAAGGCGCCCAACCAACCAGGGGTTCCCAGCCAAGCTTTCTGTCAAACACCAACCACCGTCATCGCTGCTAGAGCCTCATGACGTCAACATTACCGCACCGCAAACCCTTACCCATGCCGCCAATCGCAGCCCCTTGCATCTCCGAACCCACAATTCCAATTTCCCATATCTCTCAAAAACAGGTTTTTGCATCCACACGCGCGCGCACATAACACATACCTAGCTACATGTATGTAATCACATTCTTGGACCTGTGTGGTGTGGGTTATGATGTGTGGCTTTAATTTTCAAACAGGTATTGGGTTTGCACTGGTAAATGTGTGGCTGTTGGCGTCATGGGTCGGGTGCAAGAGGACGGAAGGAAGCGAGACACTCGCTAAAAGTTTAATGGGTAGATACATAGCTTAAACTACCGGTATGATATGCAGACAGGCCTGTGATGATGATGTAGCATACCATTCCAAGTTGTGGCCTGTTTTGGAGGTGATAGGAGTGGGCAGCAATGTCATAGAAAGAGCGGGCAGGATATAAGAAGACCTCGGGAGGGCTCCAGAAGATCTCTTTTTTATTCATCATAAACCATTACATTACAATTCCACAAGCATCAATCATCAAACCGATTCTTAAACATCGTCAATCACAATCACAAAGCTTCCCACATCCACATCCAACAAACGCAAAAGCAAAAAACCACTCTTCTCATAAACCAAACCCAATAAACCAATAAACCACTAAACCCAAGCTCACACAAACTCAAACACAAACCACAATGGGTGCCGTCGTTTCCTGCGTACGTTCCTTTTCTCTCTCCCCAGCCTTTGAAGTCCAAGTCATATACTAACCGCCACACAGATCAAGTCCGTCCTCCGCGCCATCGGAAGAGCCCTCACCGCCATCGTCAACGGCATCGCCGGGATCATCATGGCAATCGTCAACGGTATTGCAAAGTACGTTCTTCTTCTTCCCCCGACTCGCATTTGGAAAGCCAGGAATCACATGCTAACATTACAATCAAACAGTGTCTTCAACATCATCATCAACTGCCTCACCTGTGGCCGCACCGGCCGTCGTCGGACCCATAGAACCCACACCCGGTCGACGCGTGTCATGTAATAGCCTCCGTCACCGCCGCCGCCGTCGCAGTTTCTAGGTTCTGAAAGCTTGTACTTTCTTGGGAGTCTTTCTTTTTTTGTCGCTGTTGTCGAATGTGCCGATTTCGGTAGTTCTTGGGATACCCTTTCTTATTTGTTACGAATTTCCTTTGTCCACCGCCGGAGTTTTGGGAGAAACGGGCTAGTATTATTTGTAATACCTACTACTACTACTACTACTACTACATAAACATAGATGTTGAGAGATTAAATCTAAATATCATTACCCTAAACAAACCATAACTTGCATTCGAATCCTGTGCTCTCTCTCTCTTTTTTTCTTTCTTTTCCACCGCCTTTCTACTCTAATGTGCCAGTAAGAAAAAGAAAATAATAAAAAGGAAATATCTAGGTGTCAATGATCGCTTGTCATGACAACAGCAAAACCACCTAGGCCCAAGTAAGCGGCCCAAGTAATGCACCTAAATACATGTAAATAATACTTAGATCCCCCCCCCCCCCAAAAAAAAAAAAGACTATGATACGAGGGGCAAAAAAAGTGAAATCAAACATCAAACTAATCTACAACCACGACCGGAATCGTCTTCTTTTGCACACACACTATCTGGACTTCATCTTCGTCAGTTATGACTAAGGCTGGTACTGTTGGCGTTGGTCCCGGCGCTCCTGCTAGTGCCATTATTGGCTCGGGATCTAGTACTAGTACCGGTATTGGTGCCGGCAGTGGTGCTGCTAACAGGTCTAGTGCTGGTACCGGTACCGGTACTAATTCTGGTGCTGGTACTGGTGCTGGGATGGTAATGACCGGCTTCTTGACAGTTTTATTATAAATGATATCCGGAAACATTTCCTCCATAGGATTTTCAACCCTTTTACTCCCCCCATAAATGATATCTTCCTCAACCTCAATCAAAACAGTCATTTTAGCTTTCTCAATCCTCTCCTTCTCCCTCTCTTTATCAACTCTCTCCAACGTCCTCTTCACTTCTTTTAAGAGTGCCTCCGCCAGTTTTGGCGGCACCGCATTCCCAATCTGCTTCTTCCTCTGACAGGGACTCCCCTGGAAGTCATGCGTGATCGGGAATGTCTGTAGACACGCCAGTTCCCTGGGCGTGAATGGCCGTAACCCGCTCGGATGCACATCATAGGGGCCTCCGCTGGCCAGGATCGTGGCTCTGAGCGGCTGGTCAAAGTCGACAGGTGATGGTCGGAATCCGCCCGGGAACGGGGTGGGCTCATGACTGGTCACACCGTATGGAATGGAACCTATGGCGTCTCGGACTGTGCGTGGTGGTGTCAACTTACTAGTTTCCTGGACCCTGGGGTGGGCGTATCTAGGCGCTGGGAAATGGGGGAGAACTTCCCCAGGACTAAGGGATGGTCAATGATCAGTTATACCACTTTTAACGGCATGCAATTTTCTGGGCCTACCTCGCTGCTAATAAGAATAGTCGCTTTCGAGTCTGCGGAACACCGTATTCTACACCATGTAGCACCTTCCAGCTGACCGAAAAGCCTAGATCAGTGAAACACAGCACCAAACTTCGGAACCATTCCTGCCGATTCAGGATCCCGTCCGTCTGCTCCAATGTCACCATCCTTGGTCTGGCAGCTTCCAGGCACTCTTTGACGCAAAACAGAGATGCCTCGTTTCGGTCATCGTCCTTTCCTGCGATTGTGTGGGCGGGTGAATGGGGCTGGCACGGCGGAGAGAGATGGACGATATCCACGAGTAGCTCTTCCGGAGGAAAGGTCACAAAATCATTGGCTGTTGCGTAGTATGTTTCACAGTCGGGAAAGTTTCGACGGTAGGTATTTATTGCATCCTGATTGAAATCAAAACTCCATGCATTGATCAGGCCAGCGGAGCGGGCACCGGAGGACATGCCGCCGCCACCGCAGAAGGCATCCCCGAACCGATACCTTTTTTTCTGTGATATCGATCGTGGGGCGAAAGCTGGTTGAGGAGGGGGCGGTTCTTTTAGGACCTTATCAAACGTTTCGAAAGCTCCACGATTTTCAGAACTGCCTCGATGAGAGCTTCCTTGAGAGGTCATATTCACAAGCAGGGAAGGCCTCCTTGAATTGTCGTATCTTAGGGGCATAAAACACCCAAGATCTTTACCAAGAAGTTCAAATCCACTAAGGGAATCGACCTTATCCGGACTCCAGGTATCATCCGAACCTCCAAATGAATCAGAAAACGATCGCGGTGTAGAAACGACAGATGATGCCCTCGAGGTCTGCGAGAATATTCCTGTGAAGCCTGATGGACTGTTGCATAAAGAAGGTAAGGAGAAGGCATTGGGTGTATACGTTCCTTGGAAATGACCAAGAAACCTGCCTGAAGGTGTTCGGGAGTCCACCGTGGCCTCGTACCTTCTTCTTCCAAGAACAGATAAATCACCTCGTGGATAAGACTCAAAGCATGTTTCCTTGAGCTCAATACTACTTCCGTTGGCCACAATCTCAGTGTGGTGTGTTTCCTTTATGCCTTCGGCCCGTCTTCCTATCTCAGGGCTCGCCACTTTGTCGGAATTTACACTTTCCTCAACATATCTCGGCTTCCTCTGGGGCGGTATATGCTCCCTAGATGTAACTTTCAGTATTTCAGCCAACTTCACAATCTTACCCCTCCAATCCTCTCGTAATTCGCGATCTTCAACTTGAAATTCCTTGTCCGCCTCCTGTTCCCCGAGGCGCCATATGTAACTCTCTTGCTTGCTAATTACGGTCAATTTCCATCTACAGATTAACCTACCCTCTATCTCATCAACTTGAGCATTCCCATGGACATCCCTGTATTTTGGAAAAGCTGCATTTGTCATGATGAGGATCCTAGTTCTGAGTACTTTCGAGATTGAGACCGTTTCGCTAGCTGAGCTTAAGGCAACTTCATTCTTCTTTAATCCTAAAAGCCCCATGAAGTCACGGGCTCTTTTATATTTTGCGCCCCTAAGAAAGACTTCCTCCTCCCCATCACCACCAATTCGATTAAGGATTGAGTGAATTCGCAGGAAAGTTCCATCCTCAAGTTCAACCGCCTTCCGTTCGCGGAGAGTGTAACCTTTATAAATCACTGCGTCGATTTCTTCTTCCCTGAAATGTTCTTCCGGTGGCGGCAGCGGTGTAGCAGCGACACGCTTGCGGCTAGGTGTTGAGCAATTATTTCCGGTAGGCGTTCTAAGTGGCCGAAGATTATCGGATGGAATTGGCATGAAGGTAGGGCTTGGAGATCTTATGCCGGGAGTTGGGGATCCAGATCCACTGAAACTACCAATTTCCCAGTTATTCAGCCCTGGTATATCGAACATGCCGGTTTTGAGAGACGATAATGGTTTAGAGCCTTTGTACCACTCGGCCCGCTCGTTATCGAATGCTATCCGATTGCTGGGTTGGACATGCTGCTGAGGCTGTTCATGAGACTGAGAGCTGAGAGTTCGTGGCTCCATTTCAAAGCTGGACATATAACCATGAGGATCTAGATATATTTCAGAGTCGCTCCGAAGATGGGTTTTATCAGGGATACAACGTACACTCATTCTCAACACTTGAGTTTCGTCTCCCCTGGGATGACCCTTGGTCTTCTAGACCTTTCGTAAGGTCTATGGTGAGACATGTCTTTACTTTGCGTGGGGGTGGAGACGAATCTTAAGAGTACCAACGTAAGCCTTGAGCACGAATAAGCAGTAGTAACCCACTAGTACTAACCGGAATCTTCAATATCACCCTCGTCTCTCCGTCTCCGAGATCCCAATTTAAAGCCGCCTGCCATTCTGGGCTCAAAATGTGATCTCGTGAAGAACATATCTTAGAAACGAAGGTGGCCCAGAGGTTACCACCGAGTTCCCAATTAGAGAGAGCTCTGGGCCCAATGACCGTCAGATAGACTACGTAACTAGCCAGAGGATGTGGGTAGTATGACGAAACAAAATATCGTTTTGAAGAAAAGATGAAGCCTTTGATCTGGGATGGAGAACCCTGGGTGGTAAATGTATAGATTATCCGGATGCGTTGGCTCAACCAGCTCCAGAAGGCTCGAAGACGATCACAGCCTCCTTATCCAAAATATTGCGGCAGATAGGGAATTGAAGTATCTAGTAAAGAGGTAATACTATATCAAAAGCGAAGCCCAAGGATATACATGTAGTGAATACAAAGCAAACTGAAAAGCAAACCGGAAACGGAAAGAGGAAGAAAGTGGTTTGAAGCTTGAGAAGGAGAGCGCACCCCCGCGTAACAATTTCCCGTAGCCGCCTTTGGCTCTACGGGAATTTAGGCCAACTGACACAAGCACAGACCTAAAGGTGTTTTGCCACCGTGTTCTTCAGCTCTTCATCTCATGCAAATGCAGTGTTGCAGTCCTTCATGAAAAGTCACTCTCCTCGGATTAGCCGCCAAGAACAAACTCGTGTGATTCCTCAACTTAATCAACTAAACCAAGCAATTGCCCCATGCACCAGAACCTTCAAAGAACATGGAATACTGCAGTATGAATGTTGAAGCCTATGGCCCTAAATATTGAGAAAAACCTCTGTATCCGGGGACGGAGGAGATATGCTGATATGTTGATCATTGAGGTGAGGTTGAAGCCTTTAAGCGTCTCAATCATCAGAATGCACATCCCCATGTCAATTGAAAGGCAGGAGTACGTAATAGGTAACACGCACCCCTGGTAACTATCCTAATGCAGTTGAATTATACATCTGTACCTATTCCACTAGAGTACATATATGTAGACACATGTAACTAAATGTACATGTACTATGTACTCCACATGTTATAGGTACATGTACATATGAGTGCATGGGAAACATCAAATCGGGCTGAATGTGATACCGGCGTCATTTGTCGGGGTGATCAAATTTATGTGAGCTGTCTTTTACTGTTCTAATATCACCTCATAGGCTGTCAGAACCTCCCCTCCAAAGTATAACCATGCAATGAATCAACAATTACATATATGTACTCTATATCGTGTAGTCATTCACACAAGGGTCTGAAAAAGGGCCCAAAAGTCCAAAATCATGTGCCGATCAGTCACAGGGTTCCAAGCTACAACTACATGTACCTGTATGCAGACGTCCTACGAATAGGTTCCAAGTCCATACTAACGCCTTCCAAACGAAAGAGAGTATTTGAGGGATAACGGGGCTGATATGCTTGGTAAATTCTACAATTTTAATACCATTATTCAGACATACATGCATCTTTAATTTTTATAACTTGATCTAGGGAAAATAATGCTATATCAGTAAGAGATATATTTGACTTGAGCCAATGGGTCCTTATCCAATTTATGATTCAAGCTTAATAATAAATACGCTGATGGTGTACTACCAAATCCTGAAAATATTTGAGCGAAAAATCGACTTGCGAAAACCCATTTCCCGAACTTAGACGAAAGAAAAGTCCCATAAACCAAAAAAAAATCAAAATCCCAAGGACAACTAGACCCGCTGAAATAAAAGGAGAGAGAGAGAGAGAAGGGGAAGAGAGAGAGAAACGTAAAAGAAAGAAAAAAACTGTACAAGTTGATATATGATTACCATCTGAAATGAAACGTTAGAGAAAGCAAGGAACACATAAACCCATGGACCCGCATCCTGCCTGATCCATAACACCCAACTTTGATTTCTTGTCAAAATCCATCATGCATGTCCATTTATTCTTTAGGATCAAAGCTCCCCTTGCTTAATCCCCGCTGATTGTTCGCCTTCGCTCTCGGTTTCGGTATCCTCTTGCCGTACGCCACCCCCAGGCGTGGTAGGTCGCTCATTATCTTCGTCTAATGATGGTGATAGGGTCAAGGATATGATATCAGTGTGTGCCGAGCCGAGTCTTTGTCCACCGAGAGTGCCCCAGCCAGCACTGCTAGCCGAAGGTGAAAACGGGGGTATTCCAATCTTCCCTCTGCCACCACCGCTATTTAGCATCCCGGGATTCGAAAAACCTCCAGAGAATATGCTCCTCACATCGTCATCTTCGTACTCGTCAAAGTCGCCGTTGTTTAATGCGCCAGTCAAACTCTGATATTTCCCTTCACTCCCACCGGTATTGCCTGTGCCGCCATTGGTCGCACCGATTGTCGAAGCTGTTGAGCCGGAACGACTCATCCCAGGGCCTTGAGGACTTGGGAGAATACTGTGGCTTGGTAAGATAGAGAAAATCTCGCCTTCCCCATTTGGCCCACTACCAGGCTCCGGCGCAAAAGGGTCTGCAGAACGGGATATCAAATCATCCAATCCCCCCGACGAGTCCCAGCCCTTCTGGGCTATCTTCTCGAAAATTTCAATTTCGGCCCTTACAACAAGAGCTGAAGAGTCGAGAATTCGAGATGAGGTTTCCTGTGAAAGAGCCAAAGCTGAACGATAATGGCCATATTTGAGATTATCAAGTTCATCTATTTGTCTAGTGAGATCTACCAGCGCGGTGCGAAAAGAAGATAGGTCTTCGTGTCCATCAGCGGCTGCCGTCGAAGTCCATGGGGAAAAGTAATCCAATTTACTAAACATAGAGGAATACCCACTTCTTTTCCTTTGTCGCGCAAGTTTCAAATGATCCTGCTCACGCTTCCGAAGCTCTTTGCTCTTTTCATTGGCTTCTTTCTTGTATTGCTCCTCGTTCTCATTGTTTTTTTGCTTATAACTATCCAATTCGTGCAACAAAGGTACCTCAAAACCCCTGTACAAGCTTTCAGAAAGAATATGTGTATTGCTAGCGATAAGATATTGAAGACCGCCAGCGTTCATAAGCCCTTCGGCGGTATCACCGGCTCCTTTACCTACGGAAAACGAGTGGGATCAGTGTGATTTTACTTTCTACGGAGCTGCTATCTGGAGGCCATACATTTCGCACAAGATTCTAAAGCAGCGCCAAATGACGATGCAGCAGCAGCTACTGCAGCCATGGCTTTCCGATAAACCTTCGCGGCATCGAGGAGGCCTTGGTAGGCCAATATCGAAGCAGCAACATCTGACCTAGATAGAAAGTTCTTTGGTAGTAGCGGAGGTGGAGGAGGAGGCAAGTTTATGGATGCTGTGGGGAAAGCAGTTGAGGCGAAAGAATGGGTTGGAGACGGTGGGATGGGAGGAAGGCCGTGCAGGTTTGTGGTTGACGGAGACGTTTGGGCGGCCATAGCGTGAGGGGGAAAGAGAGCGATGGAGAGAAGACGCGGCTTCCTTAGGTACGGCAGGCCTAGGAGGTAGCGAATCTATGTATGAAGAATACGCAAGAACACAAAGGGGGGGAGATGAACAAGAAGGTGCAGACAATAGAGACAAAGTTTGAACAAGTCAGGGTAGAAGTTGCGAAAGCATTGTTTGAAGGCTCTCTCTCTCGAGGAGAGTTCCTCCACCACCTCCACCTCTACCCGTCGCTGGGTGTTGGCTGCCAAGGCCTAAGGACCAAGCACGGACGACCATCCAGGGTACCCTAGTATACGCGTTGGTGTGTAACGCTGGGGGAGGAGGTACTGGGGGAGGCTGTTCCTCTTAGCACTGGCCTAGATCTGTGTACTGCAGATTAGAGTACAGTACTGTAGATATATTTTCCATGTCTCCTTCTGATACAAGTTGTGTTCCAGAAAACTCTGAATATCCTCCGGCTAGTTAATGCCTGTTCTCCCACACAAACTTTATTCGCATTCCATAGGCCTGGTTCCCCTTACTGTTTGCTTCACTTTAGCGTATCATTTGTTCTCGTTCTCTTCACTATCCGCGACAACAACAACGACACCGACAATACCCCACATTTTCTCCTCTTTTCCCTTCTTCTTCACATCACGCAAGACTCACATCTCTACCCCAGCCATGACCACTGCCGCCGCTATCGTTGTGCCCGCCGCTACTAAGCACACTGCCACGTAAGTCGCTCACAACAACATTCAAAATTGTCTGTCACTCATCGTGTGTCGTGCGCTAACTTGTCTTATTTCTGCAGCTTTATCTTTTTGCACGGCCTCGGAGATACTGGCGCTGGATGGTATGTCCCTTTTCACTTTTCCTATTTGCCTGACACGGTAAAATTTCATATACCTTCTCAATATGGATCCACTTGCATATAACTTCATCGCATTTTTCTGCATATAAACTCCATCTCTTCTTCCTGTCAAGCCTAATACTATAGATACATCTCATTCTACAGGTCTTCCATCTCCGAGAATTTCCGCCTCCGCAGGAAGTTCGATGAATGCACTTTTATCTTTCCCCATGCGCCCAGAATTCCCGTTGACCTGGTATTTCTTCTGCTGCGATAAGAGTCATAATGTTTCAAAACTAACTTCACCATCGCAAAGAACATGGGCATGCGCATGCCCAGCTGGTTCAACCTCGTGAGTAACTTGAGGGGTGGAGGTGTTGGTTCTCAGTAGCTTCGAGTGATTGCTGATGATTTGCAAATCCAGTACACTTTATCTGATATGGGCGCACGCGAAGATGAAAGTGGAATGCTTTCTAGTGTCGAAAAGGTGCATGGAATAATACAGGAGCAAATCGATAAAGGAATTGCTAGCGAAAGAATAATCCTCGGTGGTTTCTCTCAAGGCGGCGCTGTTGCTCTTTTGGTACCAGCCCACTTTGACTCCGTTTTTTTTCTGTTAAAATTTCTAATTCGCCGTTTCGCTAGTCTGGACTCACTTGCAAACATAAGCTTGGTGGAATCGCTGCACTTTCCACCTGGCTGCCTTTGAGCAAAAAGATTGCATCAATGACTCAAGACGCCAATAAGGGGACTTCCATTTTCCAAGCCCATGGAGAGATCGACACCGTTGTTCGATTTAAGTGGGGGCAAGATACAAAGGCAATTTTGCAGGAGGAGTTACACCAACCAGTAGAATGGCACAGCTATCCGGACCTCGATCACAGCGCGGAGCCACAGGAGATTATGGATATGGAGAGGTGGATGCTGAAGATAATTGCTGATCAAGCGTAAGGAATACATGTACCCATACGACTCATAGAGTCCCTTCTCAAGATATGTATCTGCCCCACGATTTCTCATATTTTCTGTTGCCAGTCACAGGCTTAGATTGTGTAATGAAGCTTAGATATCTTGCACGCTTGAGTAGCTTCAAACTAAACTCATATTACTCTGGATATTAAACAAAAGTAGGACACATTTCTAAAACACTTCATACTTTGAAAAGTCATAAGAAAACCGGGAATCCCCCCCGGGGGGGGGGGACTGCGAATCCCACAACGAATTAAAACCCCACCCCCGACAGCAAACCCAACGCCCTTTCAAAAACCCATTCTTGCTATTGCTGCCAGCTCATGACCAGAAATGTTGTATCGATCGATAGGGGAATTTAATCTTTATTCAACTCTTTCGCCTTAGCATGTTGCTCCTCGCGGCTTAGTTTGTTCTCGAAAACCGAAGTGTCGTCTGGGATGACAGGGCCCGGGGTCGCATTGTGATGCTCAGCGCAAGCCTTTACAGAGTCGCCCTTCTTATCGAAAACACCGGTCTTGATCTGTTCTTCGTTGGGAATGACGGGGTTGGTAGACATGTTATTTGAGGAAGAATCGCCATCCTTCGAGTTGATTCCTGGAACAATAAGAGGCATGATTTTACGATTTTTTGGTAGGACAGTGATAATAAAGTTTAGAGCGATTCGATGTGCCTGAGAAAATGTTTTCGATTTTTTCTTCCACTGCAGATGCTTGAAAAGAATGGTGAGAAGAGGAGCTTGGGAGGCTTTTATTTCGTGAGATGAGCTGGCTATCTGCAGGCTGAGGGGATGTTAATGACGACGAGGGCTTACTACGTCATATGACGCAGATGCGGGGGGTAACTAAACATCGACTCTTGGCAGTGTCTTGCGCGTACTGTAGCTGGAATGGTCAGGCGATGTGGGATGTGGGGTCTTGCTATTCAAGCTTCAAATCTAGGTTCCCACTTTTAGATCAAGGCCGGAAGCTTTCCAGACAAGGGCTATGAAGTGAAACCTGCTCCCGAAGCCCCGAAGCCCCGAAGTCCACAGATTTCCCGTAGGACAAAGATGGAGTTGTTTCGTGAAGGTCTTAATGATGGCAAGTACACGCTACACAGTAGCATCTATACTTAGACCCATCGAGGGGAGGTTTCAAAATCATCTGAAAAGAAGTTTGGTTGCCGCATTTTCAACCCGGGGATGTTACCAAGATCAAGTGCATACATGAATATGAAATAATATTATCTCTGTCAATGTAAAAAAATAAAAATAAACCCGTTTTGACAGTCGTTTTCTGCAATAAACGATGGTTGCGAAGTGTGTGTGCGCGTCGTAACAGCAGTCACTCCAAGCCGCAATCGATAGGTCTCCGTCACTAAGCAAACCTCCAAGCCCCGCCAATTGTGTGTGAAGCCCAACGTCAAGCGGTACCATCTCTCCGAACATCCCTCCCCCCGCAATTTTTCATCTCCAGCGAATTTCATTTCAAGGTAAGTCACTTCCTCATTCCGAAATCTGTATATCTGAGGTTTTGGGTACAAAGTTTGTAAGTGTTGTGTGGTGGGACCTGACTAATTTTTATTTTTATTATTTTCGTTGGACAGTTTTCTTCTTTTCGTAACCTCACTTAATCACAATTTGAAGCAATGGATCCCGCGAAACTTGCGAAGTTGCAGGCCTCTGTTCGTATTGGTATGTCAAAATCATTTTTACGGAAATCCTTGGTGGTGGGGTGGAAGAGGGGTAAAAAGGCGACACGACGGACGAAGAAAAATCAGATTTCTCGCTGCGTTTAATGGGGTAATTGGGTTAGCAATAAATGTGCGCTAACATATTGAACTTTTTGTACAGGGTAAATATTTCCGCTTCCTACCAAAATTTCCGAAGATTAAGATCGAAAATGATATTTTCGCTGTTCATGGTTTTCTTGTTGTAACAGGCGACTGACAATGGCCGGGGTTTAGAGGAAAGGGAACTCCACGAAGGAAAGTTAAGAAGGTTCACAAGAGCGCTGGAACTGATGACAAGAAGCTTCAAACTGCTCTCAAGAAGCTCAGTGTTCAGCCTATTCAGGCCATTGAGGAGGTGAACATGTTCAAGGAGGACGGAAATGTCATTCACTTCGCCGCCCCCAAAGGTGAGTGATTGATCTTCAGCAAATCCATATGCAATCTACGAGCCAATCAACAGTCGAGATATTCTGTGGTTGCATATGTGGCAATAGTGGCAGTGTTGACGGTTTTTATCACAGTACATGCCGCCGTTCCCGCGAACACTTTCGCGATCTACGGTCGCGGGGAGGACAAGGAGCTCACCGAGCTTGTCCCCGGCATTCTCAACCAGTTGGGCCCTGACTCCCTTGCATCATTGAGGAAGCTTGCGGAAAGCTACCAATCTCTTCAGAAGAAGGAGGGCGAGGAAGCCGGTGACAAGAACGAGGATTCGGACGACGACGATATCCCAGAGCTCGTCCAAGGCACCGATTTTGAGAGCAAGCCTGATGCAAGCAAGTCCGAGGAGAAGGCTGAGGAGAAGGCTGAGGAGAAGGCTGAGGAGAAGGCTGAGGAGAAGGCTGAGGAGAAGGCTGATGAGAAGGCTGAGGAGAAGGTAGAAGCTTAAATCTGTAATACCTCCTCTCAATTGTTTTCAAAGGCTGTATCATGCATTCATATCACGTTTCATACGATTGCCTTTTTCGCAGAACAAATATGAATAAATAAAAAAAATGATATAAAAAAGGGCCTGAAATTCAAACATAATTTTTTTTTTACTAGATTTGTCAATTATCCGTTGCGTAATTTCCGGGATCTTTGTATAATTATTTATTTTTATCAAGTATGTAGAAAGTACCTACATGACTTTGACACTGGGCTTAGTTTGATTGAGAAGATAACTACATGTACATTTACATGGTCCTTACCCAGAGCACAATGTGGAAGAGTAGAGCTCCCTAAGTGGTACATAGAGTAGATGTGGCGTGGTTCGTATATGTAACTGCATACAACGAGTAGAGTACAAGTATCTTTGCCCTGCCTGGCCCCTGCCTCAGATGCGCATAAAGTACCTCCCATTACCGACATCCAATGGGTATGTTGTTTGAAACAGCGAAAGATAAAGGTCGTGATGTGTGGGGCTGCAATGAAATTACATTATTGTAACTTTGGTGGCAATCATTCACATCTGGATGTCATTGCCCTTTCATCCTTCTTCTCAACAATTTCCCAAAAATGTTATGTCACGTGAGGGGTCTGAGTAAGGGCATATAAGCGGAAGGGATCGGCCCTGTCAAATGAAATTCGGTCCCAAAAAGCCTATGCTCGTGTGCCCTTGATACATCTCTTTTATCGTTTCCTCCGCTAAACCAGTCCACCAACGTATCACTCAGGAGAAACCCACCCATCCCCCATCCTCTATCTCCTTCAAGCCCTTCCATCCAGGCCACTCGCTCCTTCTCCAAAGGAAATAACACCTAGTATAGTACGTGGCTTTCGGAAAATCTTTCTCCGCCTTGCTTACTTGAGCGGCGAATTAGTCTGCGCACAACCCCACCGCTTCAAGGTTCAAGGGACATCGAAACTGCAGACGCACGAGCGGATCCGGGGACTCAGGGACTTATCTGTCTGTTAACCCATCAACAAAACAACCTTTGTCTTTAACATCGTCGAGATGGATCTCCTGTAATCAGTTGATTTCCTTCGGGAAAACTCGTGGTACTGGTCGCTCGCTATATCTTGTCTTCTCCGTACCTGCATCAAAGAATATTGATCGGTCGCGTGCTCTTGTTTTTTTTTTCTCTATTTTTTTTTTTTCATCGTTTAGTTTTTCTTCCCCTTTCATCCTCCTTGTCCATATTTCCTGTAAGAGCTGGGAAGGACGAGTACTCTTATCAGCAACCAACTCCCGGCTACAATGACGGCAATGCCTGGCTCAGAAGAGATTTTGGAGGGTTTGGGCTCGAGCTCGTGCAACATCTCAAAGTCTGGAGGAGGCCCTATTAACACAACAACTAAGGCTCAACATATCCAAAGTACTGAAACCATCCCATACGAACCGCAGCCAAACTTCGTCTCTCAAAACCGGGAGTCTTCCGTGGCTTCTGATCTAATTCCGGAAACCGATAAAAACACAACCAACAGCCACAACCAACCTTCTCAACTTGGGGTTCCAGATGGAAACGTTCGAGGGCGAGACAGAGTAGTTCGTAAAGGAGAGAGAGCTAGTAGCAGCGGCAGTGACAATAGTTCGAAAAACCGCGAAGCCAGAGAAAAGGCAGTCAAGGCCGCAGAGGAAGCGGAGGAAAGGGGCGCTGAGGTACTGGCCCAATACAGAAAGAATGGGGATTTTCGAGAGTTAGCAAAACTTGCACGCGACAAGGGTATTCCTCCAAATCTGCGTAGGGTATGTACCATATAAAGCTCTCAATACGGTAAACAGCTAGCTGACATCTGTCTTAGGAGATTTGGCCGGTCCTACTCAATAATCACCCTTGTGTTCTTGATAAGCATATAGCCAAAGAGTTTGTCGAAAGGACTGAGAATCACGAGGATACTCGAGAGATCCCTTTCAAGCGCATTCGACGTGAGCTCGAACGTTACCACCGTAAACTGAAGAAGGTTCCAGCAACGCGTAATGGAAGCCCGTCTTCGAACCCATCTCCAGTAGGCTGTGCACTTCCTAATGGAGAGTTTAAGGAGCCTGAACCGGGTCTTCTCGACCAAGCTGCTCTTGATACTGCTGTGGAAGATGCTGTAGTGGCGTTCCTCGAGAACCATGACCATGTCAACTACGCACCTGGAATGGTTTATGTCTGCCTTACACTTGCAGACTGGCTATTCATGCCTCCTAGCGTAGCTGCTAATAGCGGAATCGACTATTTTAATGACGCGGATATCCTTTCCTCTTGTTTTGAGAAAATGATGTATGTCATATTATGGTCCCCCACGGTATGCTCGACCCCTATCGAGCCTTCGGACTCCGTAATAAATCAAAGAATCTCTCACTTCCTTACAACATTTCGGCAATTGCTTCCTGAGGTGGCCCGTTATTTCGACGAGGAAGAAGTGGCCAGCTTCGGTGAGCAGTGGGTTTGCACATGGATCCAATGGTGGTGTGCTGGAGAGCTCAGAAAAGACGAAAAAGGGCGTCTATGGGATTGGTATCTCGGGTTCGAACAGCCTCGCCTGAGAAGCTCTCAGCAGTCAAGAAACAAAGCTGTTCGTGGGGAATTTGAGGATTCGAGAGGGTCACATCCGGATGAGATATATTATCCATCAGATTGGCATATTCTTGTGTGTGTTGCTCTTCTCAAGAGTCGCAAGGATGATTTGGAGGAGCTGGAACAATCGGAGATTCGCACGCTGCTTAGAGGATTGCCCAAAGTTGATATGGGTTTAATTATTGAGGTTTGTTATTCCAGAATTGTCACATTAAACTTGGACAGCTTTTTTTTCTAACTAGTATCTGTCAACAGGAAGCGAAGTCTCTTCGCGAAGAGCTCCGAGCCATCTTGCAACATGAAGAGGAGGATTATGCAAATAGATCGACCGGCAACGCTAGTGACGATTGACCATAATACCAGTTCAGCGTTAACTGTGAACAATCCATAATGGTATGTTTAAGATATGTGTTTGTGATCCTGCTTTGTGTATGGATGCAACCATAAAAACGAATAAGGAAGCAGAAATAAAGAAGAAACAAAGTGCTTTTGAATGAAGCAGGAAACAGGATGGCGCACGCTGGGGTCTTTTGTATGGAATTCATGTCTTTGTGTTTTTATAATGGTGACATCCGCTTTGTGAATTGTTTTAGTTGCTCGGGGGTAATCTTTGCTCTGCATGTATGTACTGCACTATGCTGTTTAAACTAAATATGGGAGGCAGATTTTTGCTCGCAGTTGATTTCTGTCAATCTTGAGATAAGACAGTGCTGCTATCAGTGACAAAATATCCCTTTCGAGTCTCAAATCTCTGAATATGTAAGCTGCATGCTATGGAATGAGTTCGAAATTTGGAAAATCTGGCGCGGGTTGAGTACAGGGCGGGTTCTCTGCACTTAGGATGGAAAGATGGTGTAAGCTTCTCTCGTCATGGTCTAGTAAATTCCAAACTGGACTAGGAAGTTCCCACAACCACAGCAGTCACGTTGCGCCCAGCTTCAATCCCACTTCAACACCAACAAAAAACATCACCAAAATACCCCGCCTTACCAATTGAACATTTTACTATTTCCAACTCCTCATCACTAAATTTCAAGGTACGCTTCATTTCCCGTGTGCTCTTTAAATCCCTCCATATATCTCCGCCCAACAGGAAAATGATATGTGTAAAAAGAGGTTTTGGTGGGGGATGGTGGGGTAGCGAAATATGCATCCACCCCCACCCTCTCGGATTATACACAACGATCAGAAGCCTCAAACCACCTTAAGCTCGCTAACAAAAACTTGCTCTCTACAGCCATGTCAAACCCCCGTATTGAGGACGTTACCGAGGAGGAGGTCAAGAAGGTCGAGGTTGAGGACCATGATTCTGAGGAGGAGTCTGGTGCCGAGGATGCAGGTGCCGACGAGAGCGGAATTCCCGCCGGATCTTCTGTCGCTGTTCACAGTAAGAACGAGAAGAAGGCGAGGAAGCAGATCGCCAAGTTGGGATTGAAGCATGTTCCTGGCATCACTAGGGTCACTTTGAGGAGGCCTAAGAACGTTTGTTTACCCGAGCTCTTGTTTAATTGGAGGATTGTATGAGTTCACGGCAGCTTGTTTCAATGCAAAAAAATGCCTGGATGGGCTACTAATTGTGTGGGGGAGCTGCGGCCTTTGAGGGCAGAAAAAAAGGCTGTCGTGGACTCAAAAATTGACCGTAATACTCTGGATATCTCGAGCAATTTTTGCTAATGTATCTTATGTGATAGATTCTTTTCGTTATCAGCAATCCCGATGTCTACAAGTCCCCTACCAGCGACACCTGGATGTAAGGCCGCGCAAGACTTTATTCCTCAGAGGTTTCAATTCTGACGAAAGGTGTAGCATTTTTGGTGAGGCCAAGATCGAGGACTTGAACTCCCAGGCACAGGCCAACGCCGCTCAGCAGCTTCAACAGGCTGAGAATGCGTCAAGCATTGAGGCTGACTTCGCCGCTGCCGCCGCCGCCGACAAGGGCAAGGGCGCTGCTGATGCTGCTAAGGAGGAGGAGGAGGACGATGGTGAGGAGGTCGATGAAGAGGGCCTTGAGAACAAGGACATCGAGCTCGTGATGGCTCAGGTATTAATTTCACTATGCACTTGGAAAAACAAATTTTAGAATGCTAACAAAAATCCTCCTACTATAGGCCAACGTTTCTCGAAAGAAGGCTATAAAGGCGCTCAAGGAAAACGATAATGATATCGTCAATTCAATCATGGCCTTGAGCGTTTAGATAATCTCTCTTAACTCCCCTTTGTCCTACTCAATTTTCATGAGGTAAAAGAAATACAATAAACCAAATCTTGGCGTTCAAAAAATAATAATTTCCTTATCGAGGTCTCTTATATGATTTTCTGAAAATCTGGAGCTTTTGTCGCCCTACATCTCTGGAATTTACTGACCTCCAAATATCGATTTAGAAATCCCAAAACAAAAGCACGGATGTCAAATTACAACCCCTGCATTTTAATTGCTGTTGGTTGTGCCGAAGATGTGCTGAAATTAAAAAGATGCGACTGCTCGGCGACGAGGATCAATCCTGGAACGTGGCTCTCAGTGCCTAGTCGCGGGATTGGGAAAGCATTACACCCTAATTCCAAGTATTCCGCCGTAACCAGATATATGTAATAATCATGAGCTATCACTCGGTCATACTGAGACGAAAGTGCCACAAGTATAAAATTTGAACCTCAATTAGAATTATCTCTTGTTCAAAAATTGGACAAAGTCAATCAAATACTGTTCAATAAAACTACTCGCTCAAGGTTTACTACTCATGAACACTAAATGTTGTCAAAATACTTCAATTATCTATATACCCTTGTCAAAAGATCAACTATATCTTCCCTCTGCCCTATTGACGATACATTTCTTATTTCATCGCCTCCAAAGAGCCAGCATCCTTCCCCCCACCAGCGTCCACGACACAACGACCAATCTCGTATCTGTTTCTAAAAAAGCCCATCACCAGATCATTCCAATCACATAAGCCATAAATCTCCCTTGAAGCTTTTATACATTGATCCCCAATCGCTCTCAAAATATTTATGTCACTCTCACTCAACAATCCTCCTTCCAGCAAACCTTCGTTCCAGAAGAGATCAACCACGAAACTGAGCTGAGCTCCGAGCAAGAATGAATAGTTTTGGTCAGGCGCTTTCGAAACATTTTGGAGCCACCCCAAATACTCCATGATTGGCCCTTCGTGCTTCCGGAAAACGCTGGCATGCTCGGAAATTTCGTACAAGCCACGGTTCTCATTTGAATGGTGAATTTCATCCATTCCTGCACAGAGATCGTTTTGATCTTTGAAACCATAAAGAGCCCGAAGAATCTTGATAGCAGTCATCCCTTGTTCAGTTGCGCATTTTGCTGGATACGAAGGAAGATGCTCGAACGGAACTGCTGAAAGGCGGAGGATCGGGAATAGGCTTTGAGGAGTTGTTGCACCGGAGATTGGCGTGGGTGACAAGAGATCTGAAAATTCCGTTACGTTTGGAATGCTAATAGGAGGCGGTTTATCGATCTGGTCTTGGAAAATTTGTTTTGATGCATTTGAGAAGCTTTGGCCAACAAATTCCGAATAGGCACCCATGAAAGATTTCGGTCTAGGATTCACAAGCTCTTCAATCCAATCTTTCAGCACACCAACCTCATCTGTAGTGAATGCTCCAAACATCCGTCCGCCCCATTGCAACTCTTTTATTAACTTACTCTGTTCTGGAGAGCCCCTAACGACCCATCTCGATTCTGTCAGAGCATGCAGAAACGCGAGTGAGTGGGTGTGATACGCTTCGGTTTCCAACCATTGACTCAATGATTTCCCTGATTTACCCCCAATTTTTGCAGGGCAAGCAGCATGCATTGGACGAGCGGTAAAACATTTTTCTCTGAAAATCTTTTCTACGCTACAATCGAGTTCCGACGGGGATGCTGGTGTTGTTGGTAACCCTTCCGCAAGGATGACTCCGGCCTGGACTCGCCTCCATGCAATTCCAACCTCGTTGGGCGGAAGCGATTCGATATACTCTGTTACGGCTTTGATCCCCATAGCTGCATGGCCCGAGTGGCCGTTATCGATGGAGACATGTAGGATGAAATAGTATGGATCCAGCCTCAACTCCCGAAGCTCCTGGATGGTGATCAAGAGATGCAGTGGTAAACTCTCATATGCCATATTAAACCCTAGAATCTCCGGCAAGAACTCTTCCGGCCATAGTGATAAACACAATTGAGAAACAGCAGCCTTCCACACCCTCTCCTCTCCGTTCGGATTGTGGCAATTATCGATAAATTTCCTTTCGTTCCCCCTACCGATGTCCGCATCGATGGAACGCATGAGTTCTTGATAAACCCAGACATGGTTTTTAGTCAAATCTCCATCGCCGAGCTCCTCGCTGAGAATTTGCCAACCAATGCGTTGTGAGGATCGATTATTCGGTAGGCTATTGAAAGCTCTGTTTATGCCGCCTAACCAAGCACCGTCGACGTATTTCACTGGTGCAGCAGTGCGAAGCCACCATTTTGCATACTCGAGGTTGGGGAAGATTTCTCTGGGGCCACCTTGACGTCTTCGTAAGAGGTAAGAATCGAATCTTTCGGTGATTTGTGATTCGGAATTTCTGAAGAACTCATATATGGCAGCTGGCGAATAATCGGGGATTGAAAGGATGCTGTTATCATCGGGAGCTGTCTCAAGTGCTGCGGTAATGGTTTCGTCGAGGAGACTTATAAGCCGATTTCTACCGGCATATAGGGCAGTGGGGAACTGTTCGAGATTTTGAAGGAAATAATATAGTGTCTTATCTGACTCGAGAGGTGTATTGGATTCTAAGGTTGAATTTGGCTCTTTTTTTGTAGCTGAAAATGAGCCAAGTTGCGCATCATTATTGGCGCTCCCGGCCCTAGTGCTCCTTAGAAGATAAAGTTTGCTCTTGAAGGCGTAATAGGCAAGACATGTTAGGAACACCGCAATACTCGAAGACAACGCCAACAGCATTAGAAATTAACAAAAAGTTTGCACTTGGTTTCGAGTAAGGTCCGTATGAATCCTTTGGAACCTTAGGAGTCGCATTTTTAAAAAAAAACATATCTGCTACTGTGAAGCCAGAATGTTCACGTCATAACATGTAACTGAACGCTGGCCTTCAAAGAGATGCTCCACATTACTGAAAGTCCAATAGTATGGCTCTAAACTCCTTTGTGGCTGTGTATCTCGGGGCGGAAAATAAAACCGCTACTATTTCTGCTCCGGGCACTCATGGGGATTCTAGCTTCCCGTAGTCAATAGAAGACGTTCTATCCGACTTCCGGGTTCTATAACTTGTCCCAATGAAATAATACTTATTGATTGAATAAAACTTCGACTTTCTCTATCCTATCCGAAGCAATCATCTTTCAATGGTCGATATAATAGAACGGATAGAATCCATAGGACCATCCCTATAGCCTACGGGAAGTCCTCAAGGATACAAAAGGCCTCTCAAACCATAGATTCTTTGGCATAGCTCTAACCTCGGGACATAAAGTAACCCCTATGGTTGACGTCATAGACTCTAGGCATCACCGTAAAGCTGAGATCATTCTAGTAGAATATTTGTGAAGTGACTTCTGAAAATTATAACTATCCATATCAAGGCAAGGATCCATAACTGCCATCAAGCTCTATGCCCGCCTAAAGCACTACTGTACCGTATACATGCGGGTAATAAGTTGTGAAACAGCACAATACCCTCTACTAATTTTAAAAGCAAGATTCCTTACATGTAATTTCACCACGTAGGAATATTATAAAAACCTTATTGGAACCGAATATTATGATTTTAAACGGATGAATATAATTGGTGTACCCATCTTCAGACACCCAATATAATATTATATGAAATTTTGGCTCTTATTAATCACCGAAACTGTTTTGTTGTATTAGCTCTCGTTGAAGTCGGCAAAAATGTTTTGTCAAAAAATAGGCGTAGCTTTAATCCGCGTTACAGACAAGTGAAGTTGATATAGGCTTCAGATACTGTGCCAAATTAAGTACACCCACGGTAACCCTTCGCGATATTAATCCTACAATATATATTAATATGCTAGAACCGCACCTAAGACGGGCAATGAGATGAGCAACCTTTTGGCAGATTCAATAAATCAATGAATCAATCAACCTTTGTATAAACATCATATATAACTCATCTGAGGCTTCAAAAACAAGGCTTCTATTGCATATGCTATTTACCAAAGGGGAAAACAATAAGAAAACAACACCAAATAGCTGTGACACTCCACAAGGAAAGAAAGACGAGATATAAGTACATGATAGGAGGAAGGGAAACCGAAAGTGAGCTTGCAAAGGGTCAAGGGCTCCCACACAAATAAGAAAAAGGAAAAAACAAATAAAAGTCGTTGATCCCAAGCAAATCCTTATAATTCTCTGCGCTCACTGCGATCTCGCAACAATCCAGAGGATTCATTATCGCCTTCCTCATCCTCGTTCTCGCCCTCCTCTTCGTCAATGGCTTCAAGTGCTCTCCCTTTCACTGATATCATACTCAATATAAGACCCACTCCTGCAATTCCACCAAAGACACCCCATGCCAAAAATTCCCCTTTTGGTACTGTGGTGGCCGCTGTAAATAACCCGCCACTAACTAAAGGTCCTATAGCCCTTCCTCCAGCACTAAGAGTCTGCGCGAGTCCGTTAAGTGTCCCCAGGGTGGAGGCGTTAGGGCTCCCATTTGTAATGAGCAGCATTGCACATGTGAGTCCAATCACTGTGCTTAACGTTTTCAAGAAAAGTACGCCCCCCAATTCAGCCCAGAGCCAGAATTTAGAGCTCGGGTCATGATCATCATAATACCCAACGAATGGCATCGCCCAGAACGCAATCGTGAATCCGAATAATCCAAGTCGATATCCCCAGTGATTTCCAAGCCGCTCTTGCATTGGTCCAAACAAAAGGAGTTGAAATACAATCGAAACTGTACCAACAAACGCAAGGGAAAGGCCGATTTCTTTTGGAAATAGACCGCGTCCGGTGGGTGGCTCGGAAGATACGAAGATTGGGTATAGCGAATTGAAGGATATATTCGAGAGATTGAAGATTGAGTATGTTATAAGGAGGATGGCAATTTCCGGAGTGATGATTGATCGATATGATGGAGGGGTTGATATCTCGGGGAATAAAGTGGAGGTGGCAGCTTCATCTCCGAAGTAATCCTCGTGCTCTTCCCCTCGTGATGACAAATCTCGATTATTTGATGATGAAGTGCGAAGATATCCTGGTCTCACACCGGCCGTGAATTGCCATAGCCAGACAAATAAATTCTTGACTCGCTTTCCTAATGGCGGAAGAGATTTCGCTTCTTTCAAGCTTTCGTCGAGAAGGAAAATACTCACTAATAACTCGAGTAGTAACAAAACTGCTGCGACAATATTGGGAAGTAAATATGGGTATTCTGAGAATACACCAGTACGGGACGAGTGAACAAGGATGCCGCCGATCAGAGGGCCTGTTATCCCGCCAATGCCGTAGACTACAGGAAGGTAAGAAAATGCAGCCGATTGGTTGGACTTGTCGGTTATTTCACCAAGGACCGTAGAAACAATCCCTAGATACCCGGTTTTAGAAATCGCATTCACAGAACCTCTCATTAAGATACGAAGAACTGCCATACCTGCATTCCCATTTACCAAACCCATAACAGCCTGTACAACCACCGCCTGAAAAAGCGTCCTACAGAAGCCAAATGCAAGAAAGCACAACGCTGTTAACAATGTCCCCGCAAGAATAACCGGCTTCCTCCCAATCTTGTCACTCAGTCTTCCCCAGAAAAAGTTTGCTGCCCGCAAATTCCTCGGTCAGCCTACAATTCCCAAACATATGTGATTACACCCCCGAATAACTTACTGCCGAATTGAGCTGCAGCAAAAGAACTTGCAATGATCCCAACAAATAACCCAACCTTCCTTTTATCCATGTCCGGAAATGAGGAGGTCATTTCAGGGAGATAAGGTGAAAAACTATTCAGTGCTGTCTGCTCAGCCAGAGATATTACAGCAAGAATAGTAAGCTGTTTTATCGGTACAGGCGTCGAATTATCTGATTTCACTCCAGTATCACCCGTCTTAGAACTGCTATTGTCGGCATTTTGACTGTATGTGTTTGATAATGGTGAAGAAAAGCCATCTACGGGTGGAGGACCACTAGTTGCAGGAGGGGTGGTTGGAAATGTCTGGTAGTGGAGCGAAGAGGCACGACGCTGCATTAAGTTTCTCATTAGGGGCGGTGGAGTATCAGGGCTTTTTATCAAATCCGGGCGATCCTTGGAAATCGATGTCAAGGAGGATTGGGATTCACTTAATTCGAGCCCTTTAGTTGTACTTATGGCCATTTCCCCGGTAAGTGACGTCGTTGGCATAGTTCATGTGCAAGGCCCGTGCATGTATCTGCACCCATGACTTGCGGCAGGGTGAACGGAATACCCAGCCGGAGACGAAACCCATAAAAAAAAGAAAGGAAAAATATTAAGCTATTTTGGCTTGTGAGGCTCGAGACTGCATCTGATCTTAGCCTCTTCGAGTAGAGTAGAGTAGAATAGTAGGTAAACAGCTACGGGCCTGGGTTAAGTTAACTTCGTCAAAAACGAATTTTGAATCTCGAGATACTCTATATCATTAAGGCTGACGGATCCGGAGATAAAGGATAAAGAGCCTGAGTAGGTACGTGTGTATATATGTAGGTATCTTCTGGGCGCCTAGCATACATCCTTTCTACTTATCTTGATCGTGTTTCTTGACATCATAACTACATATCAGTCATGCGCGAGGCGCGAATAACCAAACCCTTCTACAACTCACCAGTACATGTAGTTAGGTTTTACTAATGCCAACACAAATTTTGAGATAATACATATGTACATGCAATCGAGTGATGATTGGTGAAACCTCCTTTAACCAAGGAGTTTTTCATCGGCAATAGACCGTGTATGGAATTGTTAATTCGTTTATTAGATCTATCGTGTATGTGATCATTTACTCACGAACTCGATAATACAGCAAAAAAAAAAAAAAAAAAAAGAGAAGGAGGGGGGGGGGGGGGGGGGTTCGCTATAGTATTCGAATCCCGTTAATGCGCTAATAATGGGCATTGGTACGGTATTCTTTTTGAGGTGCCGGTTTAATTCCGCGTGTTCATCACTAAATCCCACAATCATATGCAAGCAGTAATTTCACCCCGTTTTTTCATACTATAGTTCCCATAATTAATTTTTAATTTAATTTAATTAAGTCAACAAGTATATAATATACAACAATTGTTCGGTATTCCCCCATCTTCGGCATACCTCCATACGGGGATCTATATGGTTCTGGAACTCCTCCTGATCGTAAACAAGGCGTCTGGTGTATTTGGGCGGATGGGAGAGAAGGAGCCTCTGCTCTATCAATAACGAGAATCGCAGCACCCTTGACGGTATCAATTACAGAAAAAATAACTGGCGTAGACCGTGTCTAAGATCTCCTCAAAATTAAGTTACACATAGTCCCGGTGCCAAGCCTTCATCATACTAATTTGCTCTTCAAGAGTCCCGGAAGCATACTTTAGATATAAAATTACAAAACACGGTATCTAGTACACCGATATATACCTTCAAGCTGCCAAGAATCCTCTTGATTCCCATATTATCATTTAGAAGCCTATCTATAGTAAGCAAGCGCCCCTCGAGTATCAAAAGAAACATAACATCCACTTACCGTGCTCAGTGCTATCACCTCCTACTGAACTGGTAGCAGAGCTACTTGTTATGCTCTGTAGAATTCCATCCATATAGTTTGCTCCACTCCTTTGAAGATGATAGCCTAGTCAGCAAATATTACACCCACAGTATGAACGTTCGAGTATGATCACCTACCATTTCTGGTGCGTCAAAACATCACATCCCAATTCCTTCTCCCTCCTCTGGATCAAATCGACATATGCCAGCATCCCATCTTTCTTGAATCTCGTTGCAAGTTCGCATGTGATAGTAGCTCCCGAATGCAATCCCGCTAAACTGATCAACTGCAGAACAAACCCTTCTTTTGCCAAATCCCATACAAAGCTCTTCAGCTGAGCCTCAGAGAACCCTTCATTCAACCAGTTAAAACTCGGTGAGAGATTATAAACCATCCATTTCCCTTCGCCTGGCCCCCCTTTCGCCCTAACTGCTCTAGCAAATCCAGCAGCTTCTTCGACAGACGGCCTTTTCGTCTCAAGCCAGAGAAGATCGGCGTATGGCGCGAAGGCAAGTGAGCGCTTGGTCGCAGCTTGAATACCGGCACGGTAATGGTAGTAGCCCTCACGAGTGCGGGGGATGTCCCAACTAAAGAAGATCTCACGGCCGAGAATCTCCTTTGCAAGAATTCTAGAATCCGAGAGAGAGCGTTCAGAGGAACCATTCAGGTACTGGTGGACCTGACTCTCAGGCGCAGATGCTTTCTTGAGAGCTTCAATAACGGCCTCGTCGAATGTAACCATTTTGCGTTTTGCAACCCATTCGGCCTCAACCTTGTTTATTTCCTCTCCGCTTGCACCGCCTTGTTCAAGTGCGTATAGAATTTCACTTAGTGGCTTTACATCTTCAGTCACACCAAGAATGAATTCATGGTCCCGGATATCCACAGTACTACTAATTAGTTTTCCAGTTTCGGAATCTGTTCGGGCGATCAAGAGGTTCTCGCTGCCCATAAGGTCCCACTGGAAACGTGCCGCGATAAGGCGGTTGATATGTTCGCTCATTGGGACTAGTACTTTGCCGGATAGATGTCCACACTATAAATCGATATCAGAATATGAAAGCAGATATATATATATAAAAGAGCAATAGGTACCTTCTTTCCACCATGAAGTTGATCCTCCAAATGAATTGCAGCCGCTCCATTCTCAGCAAAAAGCTTGGCGAGCTTCATCACAGCTGAAAGACCACCATGACCAGTATCCCCATCTGCGATGATAGGTCTCAAGTAATCAATCCATGGCGTCTTCTTCCTCTGCTCTGGAGTTAAGGACCTTCTAGCATCCCAATGTCTTCGGTCATGTAATTGCTGCGCTTTGAACAACCTCTGCACCTGGTTTGGTACAGTGTTATACGGATAATCCCCCAAATCCGGAGAAACTTCATTTGTACTTGTTAGCACACTTGAGCATGCCCAACCACTCACGTAAAGAACCTCCTGGTGAGGAGCTTGCTGTGTCATTTGCACCGGGTCGATAGCACCCACTATAGACCAGGACCGAGTTGTCAGCACCTTTCTTGAGCAATACATGGAAATAGTAGGGAGCATACTGGTATGCACAGGTTCTCCGGCGGCTGCTCGCTCCTTCAGTAACCCAAATAGCTTCTTAGCTGTAGTGCTACTTGGGTACTCTTGTTTCAACATTCCACGCTTGCTGACAATGTCCACTGCGGTGTATGGCCTTTTAATCCCAGCGAAGCGCGGAGTCTTCCACCATCCTTTTACCTCTTGAACCTCAGCCTCGAAGATTGCATCTTCCTCCTCAGGCGAAGGAGCAACATGGAGTGATCGCGAAGAGTACATCCGAACAAGAGAGAATGTTGCGCCAGGTGTAGGAGTGGTTGACAGGATCCGCGGGAGCGGTCGAAGTACAGGTAATCGACGGATTGGAAAGACCATTTCTGAGGAGAATAACTTAATTTTTGAATATTATAAAAAAATTGCCATAAGGGAAATGATTTGGGGAGCTTATACCTATTCCCAGCCAGAACCGGCAATGACGCTTTGCCTCGGGATCTTCCTGTCGCAGGCCGGCGTCGGAACCAAGACGCGGGGCGGGGGAAAGGAAAGCACTAACTGAGCTCCTGCAGCTCTATGTAACTCGTCTAATCAGTAGGCATCTACATGTAGTCTAGTGTGTTTCGTTTTTGGCCGAATCCCGCAAAAGGCCAAATTGGAACCACATGTACGTACCTAGTACAGACGTGACATAGTATTGTCACCCAGCGCCTTAGTAATTGTATGTTAGGATAGCTTTGGACGTTGTTTATTCTTAATCATATGAAATTCTAAACAACTAGAGTTCCATTGTGAAGTTTTAATAATGAAATTACATAATTGTAGAGTGCCAAAAACCTCCTACATTATTTGCATGAGCTGAACAAATTTCAAAAAAAACCCAGCTTCGAAGGTTACCCGGACTTATAACCTATCGAGTGCTAACCTATGATCAAACATGAGTTAATTCGAGTAACTACCTTAACGTCTATTCTCACGCGTACTCCTAGTCTAGGCTGCAGCTGCGGATTCTTAGGCTTTCTTTCAAGATATAAGGCTACTAAAAGAGCAAGTACAATAGTAAAAGAACAATCATATAAGTATCAATAATAAATCAGTAAATGAATATTGCGCCGCCTGTATGATCCGGACAAAGAAAATGGCCAAATATATCAACTAAAAGTATACAATAAGGACGTACAACAACAGATAAAATAGGCTCACAAACATTTGAATTTAGTCGACTGACCTACGGATCACGTCAAAATCTATTTCCGCCAATCTCGCGCTCGATATTCTATTTTCCCGCCTTTCCTGAATAGTTACCCTACATCATCTCGTACCGCATTTCAGGTCCAGGCTGATACGGTTTGCCATACGGACCGGTAGTTGTACTCTGACTCGAGAACGCAGGGTGTTGAGAGTGTTCTGGTTGTTCTGAGAAAGCTGGATGTTGGGAGAGTGCTGGATGTACTGGTGGCGGCGAAGTAGGGAGCTCTGCCCATTGTGGAGGATACCCTTGGCTCGGGCTGGTTGCCATGCCAACATAATCACTTTCCATCTCGTGATAATTTGTACCACCCAGTGCCAATGGATGTGGAGTGTAATATCCGCCACTTCCATCCTTCTGCTGTTCCCAGACACCCCAGTCCTGGCCTCCATGGTGTCCAGGGCCAAGTGGATGCTTTTCATCTGGATCTCTGATCTGTGAAAGATTCATCATTGGCATCCCAGAATGACCATTACCGTCCAATTCGTTTCCATGGTAGTCATTTACTGTTGTCGAGGAGGGGATAGGTTGCATGGTAGACTGGGAGGGGTTGGTGGACTGTTTACGACGCCAAAGAATAAAGATTATTCCAAGAGCAAAGAAAAACCCTGCAGCACCAGCTACCGCTGCAATGAGGACTATTGGAGGCCCTTTCTTTTTATCATCCGTTGAAGAATCTGCGTTATCGTCCATGGCGTCTTCGCCATCTGTTGATTCATCACTTGATAATGCTGTGACTGCAACGATATCGGGTTTTTCACTTGTGTAAGAGACTTGAGAAAGTTGGAAAGTTCCCGAGTCGTGATTCACAAATAGGTATGCAGCTTTCAAAAACCTAATAATCCTGTAAGCTCAATTGATCAACCCGCACAATAGACCAAAGCTCACAACATACGTTCGACCCAGAACAATTGGCTGTTTCGATGAATCATCGAACGTCTTGATGGGCAAATAGTGATCATATATGTCGTTTCCCACCGGAATATAATCTCGTAGTGCAGCGATGTTTTGGTAGAGCGCACTTGGAGGAACCACTATATCAATGCTGCTTCCTCCACCAGACGCTTGCAGTGTGAACGTAATGTTCCCAATATATTTGTCGGCAGAAGCCCCATAAAGGAAATCCTGTAAGGGCTCCCCATATGTTGCTCCCAAAGCATCAGACAGCAGTTTCGCAGTTGCTTTTGGGAGGTAGCTATAATCCTCACTCAGTAATTGTGTTTCAAAATGAAGCAATTGCTGTGCACTCACATATAAGGTGTGCTAGAGTCAATGATCACTTTTCTAGTTGCGTTGAATATATCATGTGATGCGTCACCAGATGTGTCTTGGTTGAGAAGAACTAAGCTTTTCAATTCCAATTCCACTTTTCCATCGCTAGTCGTCGGTGCCTTAAGTGACTCAGTTCTGTTATCGATCTTTGTTTTGTCGTACCCGCCCAACGTCAAACGACCCGGAAATGAGTGCACCTCCCCCGTAATGCTAGTAGTATTACTCGCACCACGTTTGGTCTTCCTCGCACCAGAGTTATAGTTCTCTGATATATGTGATCCTCCACCCGATTCATCGAATGTTGGGTCTATGATAGGATATGCATGATTCTCAATATCGATACCAACATGGATACCATAAGAGCGAGTGCCAATCTGGCCGTCCTTCACAAGTCGTTTTAATAGTGTCGAATCAGGCCCAAGTCCTATAAACCCCGAAGTCATATTACAAGTGTCGACCAACCCGAATGTAAATTCCTTCATCAAAATATTATCTCCATCGTCCAACAAGGCAACTGTATCTGTTCCCTGATTCCCACCCGCAAAGAGAACATATTGGTCGTCCTTCCATGTAAATACGTCCCCTTTAGCTGTATAAGATGAGGAATCTTTAGATAAGAATACCCCCCCGCGGTATTTGACACAACCTGCCAGGGCCGTGGCGTTGCCGGTTGGTGTACAAGCTTTTGGAGAAATAGCAAAAGAATCGTCTGTATCTGTAGATGGATTGAGATATATAGTTTGAGGCGGAGTTCCAATGGCCAATGGAATCAGATAGTCGTCTGTCGAGTTGGCCACAAGTGACTTTGAAAACTGAATTGATATAGTGTCTCCAGAAGTTGCAGTTATGATACTGCTAAAGAGAACAATCCGGACAAGAGCACTAGAAATTATACTTGAGAAAGCCATATCAAAGCATATAACGACGTATCGCACAAATTCTATGGTGAGATGGATGTAAATATTAAAGAAAAAACTGGACCGTGAAAATCGGTAAAGACAGTAGAGCCGTGTCTTTCGAGGAAGATTTTAAAGATAAAAAACACTTATGACCGTAAGTACCTGTATCAATGGACACTCTAATGGGACCGTGAAAATGACCGAATTCCGAGCTTTCCAAATAAATTCCGCCGATAAAAAATGAGCGTGCAACGCCAAAGATCACGAAGACTTGGGTTAAGGAGCGAAGGCTCGAGAAAGGGCTCTATTCGTATACGAGATGAGGGCATCACAAGCTTCTTAGGGAGGTGTAAATGCTCCATGATCGGACTATCATTTCGAAAGGGGCAACCCTCATTGCTTTTGCCTTCCCCCCCCCCCCCCCCCCCTGCTTCTCTTTTGTTCTTGACGATTCATGTCTATGATCAGAGCGCCTCCGAAGAAACATCGGAGAAGAAATCTCCGCACGGGTGTCTGTGTGTTTCAAAGACAGCTGACCAAGGGGTCTGAGTGTTTATGAGCCACACGGCTGGCTTTCTCAACCCTGCACATAGATCTGTGCTTGTTTCAACCTTCAAAAAAGAATCAGGATTCTCATGAACCCCATGGTTTTCGGTACTGTCCAGATCTGATGCCTATATGTACTCAATAATATGTATATATTTAGTATAGGCCGGTAAAGGACTTCCATAATATACCATGATTTTGTTGAAAAGTGACTTGGATACCACGAAGCAGTCGAAAGGATCCGGATATAATACCACAAACCTGTAATAAAGAGAGATAGCATCCGTGCAGGATACTGCTGCTCACAAACATCTCCGCAAATTACACCTGGCGCACCATAGCTATCAAGGCGGTCGATGGAAATACTAACCACCTCAGTGCCTATAGGTTCAGTGTAGTATACTAGGCTCAGCTACTTGCATGTAGACGTTAACGTTGTTACAAGGAAATAATTAGCTTGTAGATAGCTATATAAGTAGTGACATGCATAAGAAACAGAGAAAGATACATGTAGTCAGCTAAGTATGGGGCCGATTGTAATAAAAAGGTTCCACGCGTGGTATTCTAGTCTGTGATTAGTACTACGTACATGTAGTAAAGCTCATTGCAATTACACTTGAGTCTTTCTATGCAATGGCAAGCTTTATTGTATGGAAGATGTCTTTTGCCCTTAAGCACGTATGTACTTGTTTATACTTAGTTATAAAACACATGAAATTTTTCCCGCTTAATATTCTACTTCCGATTTTTCCTGAAAATCTGCACATTTATTTAGACATCCCCCCTCACTCGGACAGTGGGTGATGATTGGTGAAGTTGCGGGCGTCTTTCTCTAGCCTGGCGGCGCAGGACCTTTCCGAATTCTATGAATAATGAGATATATGACTAGTGCCCGTAGAATCGTAGTATTTTATAGGTTTAGTTCAGCCACGGCCGGACACAAGACGCAATTCGTCATTTATAGAGACTCTGCAAGACTTTAGTAGCACGAACATAGCTCAAGTAAAAAGATTTTCTGCGAGATTAGGCCCGTGTAATCCTGAAGTAAACTTCAGGGTACATATCTTAGTACTTTTAGTATAGTGTACATATACCACTCATCGTTATTCATGGTCCACGCAGAGCAAAATGGAAAAAGAAAACAGGATAAGATTCGTACCCCATCGATAGATATCTGTACATGCCATATATTCGAGATGCCACTCAATTTCCCCAGCCACACAAAACCCAAATGAGAAACTGCAAGAAAAAAAGCAAGAGGTGGACGATAGTCTGGTATAATAACTAACAAGAAATAAAGAAAACATAGTGCCCGAAAAGCCTGAACGACAGAGCAAGGTGAAAAAGTAAAGGAAACCTTGAGAAGGACAAGAAAAATAACAACAGAAACTCGTAACAGATTACCCAACCGACCAGTCCAACCAACCAAGGACAGAATTGGTTAATTGACATGGCCCTCACCGTACAGAAATAAACATGAACAACACATAATAAGGAGCCTACTGCCCCGATGATTATACGATCATAAAATAACCTCCTGCCATTAATAATAGCAATATCGCTGCTGTTGCAAATCCTGCACCAATCTTATCTTTTTTGCTCTTAGCATCAGGATAAGTCTGTGTTGGTTGCGTATCCCCTCCAGTCCCCGCCGCTGGATCGCCCTTGCTGGTGCCTCCATTATTCTGTGTCACGGGTTCGCCAACGGCTTGCACAAGGGTATTCTGAATGACCTCCAACGCACATAACTGCTCCCCAACCCCGTACTTATTGTCCCACCCATCTTGAGTCCATATCATTCCACATGTGTTCTCATCACTCCCATAAGAACAATGAGATGCAGCTGCCACTGCGGATGTCCGAAGTTTGGGCAGAATATAGGATGCTGTGAAAGGCGCCATTTTGACAGTCAATGCCATGAAGCGACCCATATAAGCTTTGAAGGATCGCTGATCGACGTTGCACATGTCGTTTGACTCGCAGCCAACTTCGGCCATTGTATTATTAATGAAGAATACCGATGTTGCGTTCATTATGCCTTCCACGCGTGTTTTCCAAGGCTCAGCCCCGCCTGTCTGTAATGAAAGGTCAGCTTTTGATCTTATCATGGTCAAAAGTAGCAAGATGCCCCAAACGTACAAAGTTATACATGTACGCCGCCCCTGCCAGGAATATTCCTGCATTATATGTCCACTGGATATGGTTCAACTCAGAGCAATTCAAGGTTGAGTCTGATCCATCAAAAAGTTTATAGTCCTTCGACAAAAGTCCGATTGAAGCGGTCCATTCGTAAGTCTTCTCGGCCCATTCAGCGTATGTTGAATTGCCGGTATATCTAGCTAACCTAGCCGCAAGCTGGAAAAAGCATCCATTCGAGATTGTGTTTTTGTAACCATATCCAGCGTTAAATGTATATATCTGCCAGCGTAGACCTCCACCGCATGTCAAATTATCCCAACGTAACGCTTGCGAGTTGAAGACACCTTGTGCCAAGGCAAGCCATTGAGGCTGGCCCGCTGGGGGATCCGGGAAATTTTTTTCGGCAGCGGACATAGCTGAGAGGGCCCAAAACCCTTGATCGTCGTTTCCCTGGGAGAAATCATTATGATGCACGGACAGCTAATTTGAGTGCAAAAAGGTACTCACCAGTGATTTCGACTGATTAGGTGGCATAAAGTTCTCTTGTGGTCCAACTTGGTGAAGCATAGCTTCGGTGGTAACGGCGTTGTACCCAGCATCACCAGTATAGTACCAGTAGTCAATTAGAGCCTACAGTTAGCTCCGAAGGTTATGTTAACCATCATTTACATTAGCTAAATCAATAAACAAGAACATACCCCGAAAGCAGCACCAGCTTCCCACCAATAATATGGGTCACCAAATAATCCTGGAATTCCACCAGTTTTGTTTCCGGGGTAGAACTCCATCATCTTGTACGCAATTTTTTGCGTGATGTCCAAAACCGATTCTGATTCCGCAAAAAGAGGACTGTTAGCCTCCTATCAATCCTCTGGTCAACTTCCGACACTGCCACTCGTGTAGTGCCTGTTACAACTTTGGAAACGCAAGGCTTACGTACGCCTATCATCGAGAATAAGATCATACCCCGAAATCATCGGCAGTACCAAAAGGATTGAGGTACATATTCTCCGGAGGTTTGTTGGTCTTAATGGATTTCTCATGTTTGTAAGTTCGCTCAAGCAGAACTGTGTCGAAAATGAAGTGTAGGGAAACAAACGCGGCCAGGTAGAAAGAAGAGTTTATGCAGATGAGTTTGTGTTAAAGGTACCCGGTCCGAGAGCGACAGGCTAAATTTGGTATGTCTCTGGGGTTACTGTATCAAATTGAACCAGAAAGCGGCAGCTATGAACGAAAGAGGATTTTCGAGCCCCCACGATGGATGATACTCCCGATTGTATTCTGCTCACCCAAAGCCGGATACCCACGCCTCCGGTACACACTGTTGTGGTACTGCAGGCTGGGATAACTCCTAGAATTACACCTGGACAAACGAGCGAATAAACGAATGAGATGGATGATATGTTGAATCCCTAAACCCTTTTCCTCCCTTCCTTTCTAAAAAAGCTGTGAAGTATGTAGGGGTAAAAGTGGGTCGCGTGCAATTTGTGACCCAAATGGTGTTGACAAGATCGTTGCACCAAAATTGGGAGCAACCGGGGGGGTGTTAGCGGGATGAGATCTATCCGAAAATCCACACGCAGTAAGTATCGGTGTGGAGAGGGGCAAGTTGAGCTGAGCTGGACTTAGAAAGGCCGCGTTTACATTCAGAAAGAAAGCGGTGGCCAGAATGACTGAGCAACAAAAACGAGTGACTTTGACTTTGCGGGGGAGAAGCGAAGTGCGGCCGGGGAAAGGAAGAGAGTCCAGAAGCGAGAGAGAGAGGAACCCAAGAGGTGAGAGCGGAACACACAAAGCGCACTCCCATACACAAAGAACAAGCAGCAGCGGGATTAGCTTATCTGTTCGATCCAGGCAAAACGATGACGGAGTGCCGCGTATCCGACTGATTCCCCTCCTCCTGGTTTTGCTGTCTTGTCTTGTCTTTTCTTTTCTTGTGTTCTTGGTTTATGTCTCGCATTTCTCTGGCCCAGGAGGATTCTCACTTTAAGTACATGTAGGTACCTACATGTACCTACATGTAAGTATGCTAGTTTGAACCGCACCCTCGAGTAAGTCCTCATACATACGTCGGTGGCACTCCTTGCTGAAAAACAACCACTTCCAAGGAGTATCTGGAGACCGAAATAATACCTAACACCCATACCATCCATACCGGTCATACCTACCAGTTTCCCCGCCAGCTTAACACACCCCATCACGTTTCTAAGTTCTAACAGCACGAATAACCCCGGTCTTGTGGTCCGGAAGTTGTCTGGGAAAGGGGCTAGTTGCCATCCACTCTGTTCCAACCCCATGCCACGGCGCGGCCACCTTTCCTGTCAAAATCGTCAGTGGCAAGCTGCCAATGACAAAACCAAGAAGTGGTGCTAATTATCGGATTGTTTTTGACAACTCCCATGGTCAGGGAGAGAATATATGTAGGTAAATGCATGTATACTTGCCTTTTTGCGAAGTTCAAGGCTTAATTAAGTCACCCAATAAAGTATTTGTTTGGCCCTTCCTGGTTTGCGAGCACACCCAGGAGCTACAAATACCTAGCTACAACTTCTTCACCTTCCTACTCTACCCACCACATATATTGACATTCTACCGGGCTTGGCAACACTAAATTCTTGTCTGCTAAACGCTCGTATAGGTTCTGTTACTCGAGAATTTACTAATCACATTTCTATGGTCAAAGTAATCTAGCTATTTCCTTGTTTTCGAAATTTCGGAAGCTACATATAGTCTAACCCGAGACTTTATCCAGGAAACAGCTGCTATTTTGTCCCGAGTGATTGACTATGATCACTTGCTTTCCCTACATGGTTAGGAATCTTCAAATGATGCGCCAAAACAAGCATCAGCCACATGATTCAACGCTCGCATGTGAGAAAAGGACGCAAGATAAAAAAAGGTGGTTGCGTATTGTATGTAGGCGAGTACCTGGCGTGGGGTACAAGTCGTCGCCCACGGGAATCAGCAAGAAACAACCACCACAAGGCTCGGCTATAATTGGCGTAGAGTATGTACATGTACATATACCTAGGTATGACACCAGGGCTGAGGTTGTAGGACTCTGCAAGCGTAGTGCCGGACGTAAAACATCAGATCAGCTCCACTCTACATTGTATAAGGTGAGGGTTAGGTGTTGTAGGGACAAGACGACTGCCACAGTGGCTGGGGTTAGGTCAATTGACCAAAAATAGCAGCACAATATACAAAAGAATCAAAGTTTTCCTTTTGATAGTCTTCGATACATAGTCTTCAAGTGTTCACTTGGGCTGTGATGACTTTCAAAGGATTGCAGGAAAGGAATCTCACAAACAGCTTCCACTTCCGCAATCTCCCATCCCTGTGCTACTGCCCTCAAGTCTCAAGCAACAAGTAGCACCGCCGCCGCCATACCGCCATTCTACGCAAGCCCACCCACCTGTCTTGTCAGCCTTCAATCACCGGCCCCCCAACCACACTGACCATCCCTCATCAACCTCCCACAACCGCTGCTTTTCCTCTCTCGCCAGCCCTACCTAACTTAAGCTCTACATACACGTACCATCTACTTTCTCACTTACTTGCTGTCTACTCACTCGATCTTCACGCTCCCAACCTTCAACCTCCTTACCTACAGATCGCTTCAACGTGCACAACAACAATAACAATAACCCTTTCTTCACTACAACCACAACTACACCTACAATAATAAAATGGCTGATCAACCCTACGACCCCTACATTCCCCAAGGTGGTGCTGGCGGCGGCGCCAGTGGAGCTCCTGGAAACCAAAGAACCGCGGCTATCCAAGCGGTAGGTCTCCATTATTTGATTTCTTTCTCTTATGTTGCATCCCTTCATTCCCTAGATGGACCCCTCATTGTTTGTGGATTGCGACCGTGGTGCCCCCTTTTGGGCCAATAATTTTTCCCGGGCGCCACAAGAGGAACCGATATTGCCGCGTAAGCTGGCTGGGGCGGAACCGTACGAGGACCGATGAACACGAGATATTCTATCAACCGGCATTTCGGAAGGATGTGAGGGTATCGGGCCTTACTTGAGGAAAATACATGGGAGTGCTTTTTCTGGAATCCGGGATGCCGACTTGGCCGAGAGGGGGTATTTTAGCTGCTAGGGATTCCGGGAAGCTCTACCAGTGGCGCACATCACTCTATGCACCAGTCTTGACTTTGCAATCATGGAACAGTGATCAAGAAAGGATCATATGGAATTTTTCGACGATACTGGCTCAGCAATGGTCATGCTAATTCTTATTTCTTTCAACTTTAGCAAATCGATGACACCGTTGGTATTATGCGTGAGAATATCAATAAGGTCGCCGACCGTGGCGTCAGGCTAGACTCTCTTCAAGACAAGACAGGTCAGTAACTCTAAATACCGCGCGCTCTACTCGTCTCAATTTCGTTTCGCGGGGTTTTCTGATTATAATAAATTGCTCATTTTTGTTTTGTTTAGACAATCTTGCCAACTCGGCCCAAGGTTTCCGTCGTGGTGCAAACCGGGTCAGGAAGCAAATGTGGTGGAAAGACATGAAGATGCGTATGTGCCTGGTCGGCGGGATCATCATTCTTCTGGTAATCATCATTGTGCCAGCAGTTCTTGCGTAAGTACTGTCGTTCCCTAAATCTTGAGATGATTGAACCATGCACTAATACACTAAATGTTTATAGTTCAAAAAAATGATTGCGGTAATCAATGACCGATGGGGGGTGGTGGTGGTGGTGGTGGTGGTGGCAGTAAAGGATTTATGGATTACGGGCGGTAAATCGGATGGAATGGGAAGAACAATACAGTGTTCGTCGACCATCCCTGACACCCAAAACATCTCGAAAATGCGTGTGAATGACCTTTTTAAATACGAAATCAAACGAAATGATTGCTGGGTTCTCGCTATGTAAGGGGGAGAGAGAGTTGGTGTAACCTGGGACCCGGCGAATTCATTTTTGTTGCGCTTCTCTTCTGTCAGCCCCAATTATTTTATGCCTTTGTATTTTTCTGGAATCCCCCTTGGTTGTTTTGTGGTTTTGATGTTGTTATTGTACGTTTTTCTTTCTTTCTTTAACGGGATGGGAAGCTTGTGGTTTTTCTCTCCCCCCACCCCCCTCTGTCTTTGTCAACAACCCCACAGGTCAAGTCCATTGTTGGTCAGTGCGACCCAGCGTCTTCTTGTATGTCCAGAGTACCAGGGGAAGTTGTGGGGATAGCACTAGGGGAAGCTTGCTGGGGAGGTAATGGCCTGATGACTGTTTCTATTTCTTCTTAATGACAACGATGATCACGATGGAAGCTCGATGTCTATCAGTTCAAAAGATTCTAGCGTTGTTGCAGGAACAGTTGTTTCTCTTCCGAATATTGTTTTTTGTCTGGTACTGGGTGATTAGAATTTGAAGCATACTGATTCGCCTAAGAATTTTTGAGGTACATACATAGCTCCAACAGTGTCAAATTATACTCGGTTTCTGATCCTAAGTCACTCCAATCATTGACACTGGCCGAGTAGAGGCGAATCTTAAAAAGGCCTATGGAAGCCGTTATCTAAATGAAGATACATGTATTGTATCTGTAAGCGTGGGTGTGGTGGTCGGGCGAGAAAAGCTTGCGGGCCAAAGTTGAATGCATGGGTACATTAGCTATACTGTAGGTACGGACATAATATGTAGGTATAAAATTCTTAAGATTTGTAGCCCCCGAGGTTTAGAAAAGTAAGTGAGACATTTATTTATGCTGCTCGTAGGGCAAGACCTGTGCCTACTTAGTATTCATCTCGAGTAAGTGGGCGCTTTACTTGTACATTATGCTAGGTAGGCACTCTCTTTCAAATTTCTAGACATGCAATTGGAGTGCTGTATGTAATTTACTCTTCACACTCATGAGACTCATCGCCTCACGAGAGAATAATGGAATAAGACAACTCTTAGGTCCACTCGCAGTTTTACACAAAATTGGCTCTGTGGAGGAGGAGCTCCCCAGCTAGTATATTTCAATCTGATAAAGGTCTTACGAATCAACGATTATGACCCCTGTTGATCAGATAATCTTTTGTTGTAGCCTTCCTTGTATGCAGTGGTGTCCCATGATGTGATTCTCCGAGCGAGGGAAAAATTTTCTCGTGCATCCTGGATTGAATATTCACCGCCAAGGAGCGACGTTAGCAGTGGGGGATGAGTGCAGTGCACCTCAGTATTTACCAGTGGCCTGGATGCAGGGTTGGGAGGGGTTGTAGTGAATGTGAACGAGTGAGTTTGCGAGTGAACCGGAGAAATTGATATCTGTAAAATCGAGTGTTAAATGGTTCTCACTAGCGATATTAATTCTCATTACTTCAAGCTGTTTGCATTACTCGGGCTATTGGCACTAAATTGATCTCTCTAGGTACCTCGGGGAAAGATCGTGGTCTCGTAGCGCTCAAAGCAATGCCCATCCCGCTCTGCCCCGCCATCCATCACCATCATCACTAAAGGTGGCCTTTCTTTTTCCCTCCTTAATTCCTTTTTATTCGAGGGTTTCTTGACTAGTTCTACTATTTCTTCTTCTTCCCCCCCGTTCCTTCCTTCTTGTCTCCTCTTCCTGCCATTGATCTCTACTCAATTGAAACCTCAAAAATATGTTGGCTAGCCTTCGCAGCGTCTCCCGGCGGGCCCTTAAGTCCTCCACCCACACCTCACGTCTCTTACGTCCCACCACTGCTATCGCTCTTCGTAAACTCAATGCATCTTTTGCAACATCGGCTAATGATTCGCCTTCCCTCGCATTGTCTACGCGTTCTACAGTTATTCAACTTTTAAACAATATCGGGTCCAAGCGTGAGGTCGAGCAATACCTCTCTCACTTCACATCTGTTCAGTCCCAGCAGTTCGCCGTTATTAAGGTCGGTGGTGCCATTATTACCGAGCACCTTGACTCACTCGCATCATCCCTTTCATTCTTGAACCATGTTGGACTTTTCCCTGTCGTTGTTCACGGGGCTGGTCCACAGTTGAATAAGATGCTCGAGGATGCTGGTGTGGAACCTCAGTTCGAAGATGGGATTCGTGTGACAGATGGAAAAACACTCGCTCTCGCTCGTCAGTTATTTTTGAAAGAGAATCTAAAGCTCGTAGAGGCTTTAGAGAAGTTGGGTGTCAGGGCAAGGCCTATCACTGGCGGTGTATTCCAGGCTGAATATCTCGACAAAGAAAAGTATGACCTCGTTGGCAAGATTACAAAGGTCGACAAGCGTCCCATCGAGGCTGCCATCGAGGCTGGATGTCTTCCTATTCTTACTTCGACTGCTGAAACCGTCGAAGGCCAGCTTCTAAACGTCAATGCTGATATCGCGGCTGGTGAGCTCGCCCGCGAACTGCAGCCATTGAAGATTGTTTATTTGTCTGAAAAGGGTGGTTTATTCCATGGAGAGACAAATGAAAAGATTTCAACCATCAATTTGGACGAGGAATACGACGATTTCATGAGTCAGTCGTGGTGCAAGTACGGCACCAGGCTGAAGATCAAAGAGATTAAGACCTTATTGGACGATCTTCCAAGAAGCTCCAGTGTTGCCATCATTGCAACTGCGGATCTTCAAAAGGAGTTATTCACGGACACCGGTGCTGGAACTTTAATTAGACGTGGAAACAGACTTACGGCCAAGACTAGTGTGTCGGAGTTTGGGGATAAGGCCAAGTTGGTGGAAGTATTGGGCAGGGCAAAAGATGAGCCGGAGGGTTATTTGAATTTCTTGGGCCAGAATTCCTTCAAAGCGTATGCCGACGAACCACTTGAGGCTTTGGCTGTTGTTCTTCCCGCTAAGAACTCTCAAGAACCTGCTCTACTTGATGTATTCACATCTTCGAAGGCTGGATGGTTGGGAAATGTCGCAGACAATGTTTTCAATTCAATCAAGAAGGAATATCCTAAGCTTATGTGGACTGTCAAGCATGGTGATGAGCAATTAGGATGGCACTTCGACAAGGCCCAGGGAAGCTTTAGTCACCACGGCAAGGTTCTCTTCTGGTATGGGCTCGAGGGGCCGGAGCAAGTTCAGACTTTAATTGGGAAGTTTATTTCCCAGGCTGAGGTTGCTGAGCCATTGAACCCCGGGACTGTTACTTGTATTAGGCAGCAAGCCAGGGCATTTTCCACTCTTGGAAGGTTGAATGCATGGTCTGCTCCCAGGCAAAAGATCATTGGGAGGCGTGGATTCGCGTCTACTACTAACCCGAACCCTCCCTTGGGTAAGGGAAATAAGACCAATGATAAACCTTCCAGAGTTGCTCTTATCGGTGCCAGAGGGTACACGGGTCAGGCTTTAATCAGCCTCATCAACTCTCACCCGCACCTTGATCTTACGCATGTTTCCTCCCGCGAATTGGCTGGCAAGAAGTTGGAGGGGTACAACAAGGGTGACAAGGAAATCATATACCAGAACTTGACTGTTGAGGATATCAGGAGAATGGAGGACAACAATGAGGTTGACTGTTGGGTGATGGCTCTTCCTAACGGCGTCTGCAAGCCATTTGTTGATGCCGTTGAGGACTCTGGTAATGGAAAGAGTGTTATCGTGGATCTGAGCGCAGACTACAGGTTCAATGATAAATGGACTTATGGACTGCCTGGTAAGCCGAAATCCTCTTTTTCTAATAGGATTGAGCTAAAAACCACGCAGAATTAAACGATCGTTCGGCCCTAAGCAGTGCTACTCGCATCTCGAACCCTGGATGCTATGCTACTGCCGCGCAGATAGCCATTGCACCCCTCATCCCATTCCTTGGAGGTGAACCTACTGTGTTCGGAGTTTCTGGATACTCTGGTGCCGGCACCAAACCTAGCCCAAAGAACGATGTTAAGCAGCTCACTGACAATCTGATGCCGTACTCTTTGACGGACCATATTCACGAGCGTGAAATTTCTAGGCGACTGGGCGTTCCTGTTTCTTTCATCCCACATGTCGCTGTTTGGTTTCAAGGAATTCATCACACCGTTAATATTCCGTTGAGCAAGGAGATGACTAGTAGAGAGATTAGAAATTTGTACCAAGACAGGTATGCCGGCGAGAAGCTTATCAAGGTTGTCGGAGAGGCTCCCTTGGTTAAGAACATCTCTGGAAAGCACGGAGTGGTATGTTTTGCTTTATTCCACGAGCCTCCTTTATACCAGTAGTTTTACTAATTGTTTATTAGGAGGTTGGTGGATTTGGTGTTCATTCTTCTGGAAAGAGGGTTGTTGTTTGTGCAACCATCGATAATCTACTCAAAGGAGCTGCGACCCAATGCCTACAGAACATGAACCTTGCCCTTGGATACAGCGAGTATGAGGGTATTCCCATGGATTGAATGGAAAATATAATGGCTCGTTTTAATAAAGCAGTGGCATTTGCTGGGGGAGTTCGTTGTTGCTTGAAACACTTTTTATCTTTAAGTCCGAGTACCAGCTTGTGGAATAAAGAAAAGCGTCCGTTCTTATTTTTTTCTTTTTTGTCTCATGTTGGTTTTTTGCACTAAGTTTTTTCCCGGGGTTTGAAGGTTTGCTGGCTGGTTCGGTGGTGGTGGTTTTTGGGAATTCGGTTTACGGGGGATGTATATATCACGAGTCTTAAATGTTTGCTGGCATTTGTCTTCTGAGGGTTTCAGTGGTACATGTAGTTAGTGATACCTATCGATTGTATGTATGTAAAGAATTTATTTACTTACGAATGCTGTTTAAAATTAGTGACCTCGGATCTGATAACGGATGGACGGACGGAATAGCTTCAACGCACATGGCGCGCGGAGTGGCATTGCGGGGAACGTGGGGAAGGGTTAGGGTGCAATGCGGGGCCGAGCGTCGATTATTTACGGTTACGGGTAGCCGTATGTTCCGGGAGCTCAGGTTAACTCCATACCTCCATTGGCCCGTCCAAAGTGCACAGCGTGTCTTATTTGCTTTTTTATCACCAACCCTGTATTTAAATCTACCCGAGCCATCTTTCATTCAACAATTGAATTACATTCTCTTGACGACTATCATTGACCTATCTATACCTTCCCTGACTACGCAAAGATGTCCCTCAGCATTAGGTCTTCAAGAGCTCTCCGGAGCTTCCATGTATGCCCAATCTTGCATCAACACAGTATTCTAAAAAAAGTCAAGCTAATAGATTCGTTGTTTAATCCACAGCTTTCATCTCCCCTTCGTCCACTGTGTCAGGCCAGTAGAGGATATGCATCTGCGCCAGAGAAAGACTTGAAGGAGACCCTTAGGGAAATCATCCCTGAGAAGCGCGAGAAATTCAAAAAGTTTAAGGCAGACTATGGTCAGAGGTCATTAGGCGAGGTTAAGGTCGAGAACGCTATTGGTGGAATGCGGTTTGTCCCACAAATCTTGATCACTTTAATTCTGTGGTATGAAACTAAAGATAAAATTGTATAGAGGGATCAAAGGTATGATCTGGGAAGGTTCCGTTCTCGATGCCAACGAAGGTATCCGCTTCCACGGAAAGACGATCAAAGAATGCCAGAGCATCCTCCCCAAAGGAAAGACTGGGCAAGAAATGCTTCCGGAGGGAATGTTCTGGCTTCTCCTTACCGGACAGGTTCCAACTGAGGGGCAGGTACGAGCTCTGAGCAGGACTTTTGCCGAGAATGCGGAACTTCCAGAGTTCGTTGTAAAGATGATGGATGCTTTCCCAACAACTTTACACCCAATGACGCAGATGAGCATTGCTGTATCAGCATTGAACCATGACTCAAAGTTTGCAAGAATGTATGAGAAGGGATTGAACAAGGCAGATTACTGGGAGCCCACTTTCGATGATTCAATCCAGTTACTTGCTAAGCTTCCTACTATCGCTGCGAAAATTTACCAAAACACCTATAACGGTGGTGGACCTCTTCCTGGATCTGTTGACCTGTCGCAAGACTGGTCATGGAACTTCGCAGCTATGCTCGGAAAATCAGATAGCGAGGGTTTTGTTGATCTTCTACGTCTCTACCTGGCCCTTCATGGTGATCATGAAGGCGGCAATGTTTCAGCGCACGCTACACATCTCGTTGGGTCTGCCTTGAGTGACCCATTCCTGTCTTACTCTGCTGGTCTCCAGGGTCTCGCAGGACCCCTTCACGGTCTCGCAGCCCAAGAAGTACTAAGGTTCATCCAGAAGATGAAGACGAAAATCGGAAATAGCTACTCGGACTCAGATGTTAAAGATTATCTGTGGAGCTTGTTGAATAGTGGTCAGGTAATCCCTGGGTACGGACACGCTGTTTTGAGGAAGCCCGATCCTAGGTTCCAAGCTTTGATGGACTTCGCAGCCTCAAGGAAAGAGGTGTCGGAGGGTGAAGTCTTTAAGCTTGTCAAAAAGAATAGTGATATCGCGCCAGGTGTGCTGCTGGAGCACGGAAAGACAAAGGTACAGAACCTCTTCTTAGACCTTTTAATGATCGTTCAGATGCTAATCTGGCTCATAAGAACCCACATCCAAACGTCGACTCTGCATCCGGGGTACTCTTCCACCACTACGGTATTAACCAAGATCTTTACTACACTGTGACTTTCGGTGTCTCAAGAGGGTTGGGCCCCTTGGCACAATTGATTTGGGATAGGGCTCTTGGACTGCCGATTGAAAGGCCAAAGAGTTTGAGCATGGAGGCCATGATTAAGTCATTTGGGGCGTAAAAGAGGCCCATTCAGTTTTGATTAGCGATTTGTTTGAAATTAAAAGAACTTCCTGTATTTACTTGCGTAAACTTGCCCTCTTTTGTTCTAGAGCCACACCGCTATATTAAGGTAATCGATATGAGGTATTGCCATAACTGTAAGGTTGCATGCAATTAATGAATTAAAAAAAAAAAATCGATATGAGGTTGAATCATGATAGATCACTCGGTTTCTGATTGCCAGTTTCACTGAGTTGGAATGTGTTTTCCCCCATCTAATCCCTTGCATACTTGAGATAGGTCCAGCAAAACGAACAATCATCGTGCCAGAGAAAAGCAACTAGACTGATCACTTCAATGCCTAATATCCCATTCAAAAACACGTATTTCAGGAACTACAGCGGCAGCGTAAGTCACGGATCTGCTTGTACTGTTCTTTTAGAAATTAGAGCCTATTTTGTTTGATTTAATACACGCATCACCTCCGAGATGCGAGATTCTATTACGGCAATTATATCTTATTTGTTGAAGATAAGGGTATAAATATTCGTTTACTTAAAGTTCCAACTCATATTAACCGATCAAATAGGCTGTCTCTAATTAGGCAGCACCCTCGGTTCTTTGTCCTGTGTAGAACGCAAGCCCATAGTTTGGTGTCGTAAAGGTGATCGTCGCTCCCTTCTCTTTACCGTGAAAATGATCAAAAATTAGTAAATGTCTTTCTGAAGCCAATAATAATAAATTATCAACTTAAGTGGTACTTACCAAAATGAAAAACATCGCCAGGCTTTCCAATTACACTTTTGCCGGTCTCATCGCTAATATGAAACTCCCCCTCAATGATAATCTTCATCTCATGGTAGGTATATGTGTATACCAAGGGCTCCCCCTGTTCCAAGCGATATAAACCACACGAGATAGGCTTTTCAGCATCCATCTTTTCACTGGAGAAGATGTCCCCAAGAAATACATTATTTCCGACGAGTAGCTGGGGCTTAAACTCGGTTTGTGCCTTTTCGTAATAGCTGGAGATAGGTTAGTGGGCTAACGAATATATTAGATATATAGTACTCACTGCATAGGCATTTTGAAAAAAAAAGTTCTTGTCAATATTGTATGTACTTAGGGTGATTCTACTGAGTATGATATTTTAGAGTAAAATATGGTCAGTCTCCGGACCCATGTGATTAAATATGAAAAAAAAGGACTGCTCCAGGCCATGCCATGCATTTATTCATACACGCATACTACCTATCCCGAAGTATAAAACCATGTTGAACACGTAATAAACCCCAGATATCATCGTCTTGAACAAATTCCAAGATTTCTTTTCCCGGATTTGCAATTCGAGCATTAGAAGACTGTAATTCAGGTTGTTGGGTCGGTCTATGTATGAGTAGCCAATGGCGGTGCGCCTCTTACAGGCAGCAGAGCGGGATCCGGGATGATCATGACTTTAAGCCCTAATTGAGTACTATATGCATGGATCGACGATGCATTTAAGACCATAGCGACGCGTTAAAGATAGCGCGGCCAGACTGTATCGATAAGGGTTGGTAGGGGATAAAGGGATAGTTTATCTACATTTGGGGAAATGTTCCCTCCTGCAAAGAGACCTGTCAGGCCGGCCCGGAAGTTGTTGGGATACATACATGTACATACATATGTGTTACACGCTCCCATTAACGTAATATAATCACTATTTGATACATATATAGACTTTGGAGCTTTCGACGACGATTAGAGTACATGATCATGTAGAGTAGCTGCTCTACATTATGTGTGAAGGTCCCTTCTTTTCAGCCTTACACCCCCGCACACAACACGGCCCCCAATTACGTTAATTTTTCACGTGTGGGGCGAATCCGTCGGTGAAAAGCAGACCATCCACTTGATAGGATCATGAAAGCGTATAAATCTGGTCTCAATCGATGCAAGGGAAATAAACAGGAGGAATCTTAGCAATAATACACCCGCGCTCACCCCTTCCCACTATCGTCATCTACATACTGTCCTTTCTGCCGGCTCAACCTCAAAAGGATCTACCATGACAAGATGAAAACGAACTGCAATTTCCCGCTTTTGAAAAAAAAGACGATGGTATATTAAGTCAGGCGAATAAAAACGAATACGCAAAAAAGTCGAGTAGGAAAAAGACGAGCACCAAAATGAACCCTAACCTAAGTGATATGATATCACCCCCTTTCCCTTCCCAAACCCTTGAAAATTACGCTAATGATTACGAGGAGAAAAGAAATGCGATAGAAGGCCTATGAAATCAAACCCAGTTGCACCGGTGTAAGTGAAGCAGCCACGTCCACGAAAATAAGTAAATAATGAATATTGGGCACAGGCGTTTAGCGATATAACTCCGCCTAAACAACGACTCTATCCCAGCAAAACTTAAGGGAAGTTAGCATAAGGTATGTAAGTATTTGTGGATTAACTTTACCCTCCCAGTTGCGGTCCTTCATGACGCTGATCCAATGTAGCTTGCCTCTTACTGTGAACTCAAACCACGATTCACCTTCTTCATGCCCCACCGCCGCCGGAGCCGTTCTCTTGTTGCGCTTGATCGCCGGATCTGGTGTCGACCACGCCATCATTCGGAATTTCTTATATCTACTATTTTCACTGTCTGCTTGGGACTCCCAAACACCATAGTCAGCAACTTCAATTCCACCACCAGAGACCCTCTTCGAGCTAGGTTCTTCTATAGGAGGCGAATGATATCGGGACGTTGACGGCGGCGGCGTCTGCATCCGCTGCCGCTCCAGCTCAAAAGAATCACGTCGGCTCCAGACTTCCCTCACAACCTCCCACGCTTTGTCGATATTGCCGATCCACATGAGACTACACATGTTTTCCCATCTACTATTAACCCAATCCCTCTCCTTGCCTACCGCTTCGCAACCAGCAGCAAGAAGTGGGTATATGTGAACAATGCAACTTCTAGACTTCATGGGAATTGTTGCAATGGCCTGCATTACTTTTTCTGCCAATTCATGGGCAGTTGGGGATTGCAATTCTGGTACAGCTTGGTGAAGATAGAGGAGCGTGGCATATTGGTAGGCTTCCGCGGTTTTGACGCAGTGCTCTACATCGCTGAGCGGATCCTGGGGTTCCTCGTAATAAGCCTCTGGAATCCAATTCTCCAACTGAGTCTTGATATCCATGGCTTCGTTAATGATTGGGAGTGAATTTTTATCAGTCTTTCGTACTTTCTGTACAAGGCTTGCAACACGCCCAATCAATGGAAATAAGGTCGCTGCACAGCCAAGTAAAGGATCAACTTGATTAGTATGTGACAACGGTCCATGCACCAGGGTCTGGACACCATTGTCATCTTCTGAAGTAAGCCGGGCCAAAACGTCAAGATAAACCCAAACGTTATACAGAAACGAGAACATTTTTTTAGATTCTGGGCTAGACTCAGAGGTTCGAAACTTAGCCAGAGCCCGATTTACTAATTCATTTGCACCTCGAAGGTGCTTTGTACCACTAGATGTGTGGCGATCAAAAGCCTCAGAAAATGCTAACACTAATGTTGTAGCTAATGCCGCGTCGTTTCTGATTGTGCCTCTGCTAAAGCCTTGAGCTAATGCTGTAGCCGATTGACGCATATGCTCTATTCCCTCTACACGGAGAGATGGTCGATCCCTCGACATGTGGAAAGCCGTCATCGAGGCAATTGCATGGTAAAGAGCTGGTGACTGTGTGGCCAAGGGCCAGATCATCGTCCGCCATGGGTTCTCAGTGGGGCCGTCCTTTACAGACATGATACCACAGGTGTTTTTATCGAAATGCAGGAGAAGCATCTCTGGGGCGTTGAAGTCAAATGTAGGACGGCGGAAGATATCATGAACGCTGGTAAAGGATTCTCGTGAAGATTGTGAGTTTGTTGAATGTGTTGAAAACGCCGAGGGCGAAAGTGAGCAGCGGCGTCTAAACAACCAGTCTCTCGGAGTTTCTGTGCGAACTATATCAACAACCTCATCATCATCATCATCATCATCATCATCATCATCAACATCAACTTCTTCCTTGATGATTGTGGGGATTCCAATGTCATCCGGTTTATAGAAGTGTCGTTCATGGTCGCCCTCTACCTCCTCCTCAACACCATCCTCCTTTTTATTGATCGTAAAACTGGAATCATTTTGTTCTTCTAGAGGGTTAAGGTAAAGTAGCGGCCCTATAGACTTGTGCACGGAGTTGGAGCTTTGAACTAGCTCGGAGCACATTCCATGAATATTGCGCCTACCACTCACAAAAACCGGATTGATTTCGGAAGGAACAAACGATGATAAAAACCCGGCACTAGACTGAGAACGACTTGTATGTAAATGAGTAGATTCAGGTGGTGATGGAACTTGAAATTGCAAAGGGTGAGGTGATAAGAATGACACATTGGCCTCGAGGCTATTATTTAATTGTGACGAATTTGGCGAAAGCGGAGAGAACTGGTGTAATGAGGAAAACTGCACCTGATACGGAGATGGTGAAGGGGTTTCATAGATTGATTCATTGGGAGACCGTCGGGGAGGACCTGTGGCGGTTGTAATGGACTGATCCAAAAAGGCCGTGCCCGACAGAAGTGGAGGAGGTGGATTCTTCTTAGGTTTTGTCACCCCATTACCAGTACCTATTAAATATTAGCTTATATTCCAGTGGATATATTTCTCAGAATGACGGCTACATGTAAATACTTTTTCGTAAGGATTTTGGAGCTTTGCCTCCTAAGGCGGATTCTTCAAATGCCCTCCATTTAAAGTCTTTTTTGTAACCCCCACAAGTAACACCTCTTTTCTGACCTTTCTCTTATTAGCTCACCGAATTACTAGTCGCAAAAGCTATACCGGGTTTAGAAGCTGAATAAAGGACTCTTAGGACATACATTGGTGGCAAGTGGGTTTGGACTCGTCGCACTTTAGTCGCTTCGCCTTGCAGGTAACGCAACCTATGAAACTATTAGAATTGGTACTATTTTGATCGACCCTGATCTCTGTTCATCGGTAGGCGGTATTCAATTCGAACACAGAATAGGAGATAAAGAGAAAACAGAGTCATTTCTCGTACCATTTCGGCTTTTTGATTGCTTGGGCTTTACTGGTGCTATACCCAAGCTCTCGGGCGATGACCCCATATCTTTTGAGGTAGTAGTTGGGACCTCCATGGGCAGATTGTTCATCAAGAAGCTCTTTGCAATAGTCCTGTAGTTTCGCGTATTGTTTCCTATCTCCTACCAAATATTCCTGCTCTGGTTGATAGCGACTCTTCCGAAATCACACTTGTCGAGTCAATCCTGGCAGTATACCCGTAAGCCCCCTTCGATCTATAGGTATTTTCTTATTTTATTTGAATTTTATATTTCTTCCTGATATGCTGACTTCTGGAAGAAGCGCGCTTGACGATGATAATGAATATAGCACCCAACCGCTCGTTCCGCCGTTTTACAACTTTGTAACAACTTTCTAACGATAATAAGCTGGGTTGCTGCTTCAATATGTAGCGACCCTGTCACCACCACCCGAATATGTTGAAGTCGTTCGCAACAGGGGCAGTTCGTATACGTTCGCGTAGGATTCTGGTGTCGTAATCAATGAAGTAGACTCCCTTCCGATCGTCGAGCTTGTAATCAAAGGGGGAGTTGCAATGGGGTGGTTGAACAGGAGATGGCGAGAATGCAACGACGGTTGGGCGCAAGATAACGATTGGGAAGAAGAAGGAAGTCTATGACGATAGTGAAACATAAACTAAAGGGGAGAGAGAACCGAGCAGCGCCGAGAAGTGTGAAGGCACTCAAGTTACGTTAGAGGAGCTGCAACGTAGGAGGTTGAAAAAGCTTGAGAGAGTCAATTGCGACACTAGCTGAGTTCGGACGAAGATGATAAATAGTAGGGGAATGCAGTGAGAGAGCTGAGCTATGATCAGATGTGTGGCCGCCAACGAGTCGTTTTTTTTTTAGCCCTGGTAAAGCGCGGGGTCTCCTTTGTTCTGGTCGTCTCGTCAAACTGTTACTCAGACCTGAAGTGTCTTTAATCTTGACCTGTGTTCTCCTGCGGGTCCCAATTCGATAAAGTACTTCACCACGTTGGAGCAGCCACACAGTCTAAGCCTGTTACACAATGCTGCTACGGGAAGCGATTTGCTTGTTTGAAAAAGTCCGCAAGGTATATATACATTACATGTGTTTAGAGTAGTACTCTGGGAGCAGAGTACAGTTACCTACTCTGGAGTCTGGATATGTAGATACATCTAGAACACGTAGAAATTTTTATGTATGTTCTGGCAGAGATTTCTTGTAAAAAAAAAAAAAAAAAAAAAAATCTAGGCCGCGGTGTTTTGCGATGCGATTTGTTTAACTGCAATGATGGAAGAAGCCGGTTGATACGCATTAGGCAGTCTCGGTATGCCGAGAATCTATTTTTAGTTTTAATGTCTCTGGGTCAATGGCGAATCGGTTCTATGGCGAATGTGCACTTAATTATTGGCCAATCAAAATCAGAAAACTGCACCACAAACATCGACAGAAAGAATATGTAATTACATGTAATTTATTCCGAGCTATCCCTAGGCCTACTATTATATGAAAAGTAATATGTAAGTAAAAAAACCTAATAAATAAAATCTCGAGAAACTTTTGATAGGAATAAACACCAAATAAGCTGGCATAGCCACTTTGCATGAAGTAGGGGGAAAAAAAACGGAAACGCACAGATGAGTCGTTCTATCCGGATGAGATAGCACATAGGATGATCGTGCACGTGCAGTACCATATAAGATGATGTACCTTGGTTTGTTTGGCCGGCCATTCGTCATTGACTCAGGTTCGCCATTGACCGGGAAAATACAATACTGCAGCTCTTTTTAAATGAGCCTCTAGTAGAATGCCACCTTCTAATGAGTGAGAATACTTGAACATATATATATAGATATGTATACACATGTATATATACATGTATATATACATGGTTGTTGTGAATAGCCTTGCAAGCTTGCAATTGTACATGTAGTTGCAACCTTGGGGTGATCGTGAGATGATCATGTCGAGGTAAACCTAAAATTATAATCCTGCAACAAGTATTCTGGAACAAATACATATACTACATGTATATATGAAGAGTATTCTGCATATCCGCATATTCTCTTTATATACACTTATATGCGTATATGCACATGATATTACTCTGATTGTGTAATCCAAGGATCTGTACCCAAGTATGTACGGTACTTCGATGTTTGTGCGTTATGCAATATGCAATTACATACAAGGGCTGATATTATACATACTTGTATGTGCATGTATCAAGACTCATGTGAGATTAATGTGTTCAAAGTACAACACGACAACCATTCAAGGATTTGTTCTAACAGGTGTTGCACGCACCAAACGAAGAACGTAGCTACAGATTATATATATATAATTAGATGCACAGTACTATTCTATAGATCTAAATGACGAACTGTACATGTATCTATAAGCTAGTACATGTACGTCTGTTATAATGAACTATCACCACTTGGTATAATATCTACCTACATATATACATGTACTTATAGCTATTGTTAATATATGCATATATCAATCACTTCATCTGGCAAGCTGACCATTTTTTGTGGGGACCAACGGCGCCATAGCAAATACTGACGAGAGATTGGTTAGTAGAGATTAATAATTGATTGATCAGAGTTTGTTAGCACTAGCAACGTCCCGTTTGGCCCCACAAAATGTCATCAGCATTTCGACCCAACTTCATGTACGTACTTAGCTAATACATGTAGTATTCACTCGCTCGACTAGTCTTGTTTGATAACAAATATATAGATCTACATGTAGATACATGTACAAGGCTCTGGCATTAAGTGAGCGAACTAAATGGGGTGTTGACAGGTGAGGATCCGTTCACTCACTAAATGCCAGAGCCTTGTACTTACATTAATAGGAGCTATGGATAGTATGATATGATGTAGATATATGAGGGCCTTATCATAGTTTTAATCTTATCCATCAAGTACCTACTTGTATATACGTACTATACGTCGTATATACCTAGATCTCCTTTCCGCGATCCGGCCAGAAACACAACTACATGTACATGTACTTAATACATATGTATACACTTAAGGCAATACTGATCTACTTAAATACTTAAAGTACATGCATGTACATATGTAGCAAAGGTAATATAATTCATTTGTCTTTATTATGGCATGGGGGATATTATACTTGAGTATTTTAATCAAGATGGTGTTCCGTGTCTCCTGGGCAAATATAACGTAGCTTAGTACCCAGGATCATGTGCAACAGAAGTATGCGCAGAAATATCGAGAAGCTTGAGATTACCTTCAAATACAGAGAAACCTATCATAATTCCACCCTCTCGAAATTCTATCCCTACCAAACTTCCAGCGGTTGGAGGGAACGATACCTGTAGTTTGCTAACAAAGGCCTCTCTCTAAATTCCATCCCTACGATAATTCCATCGGAATTCGACCACCACGGGGGTGGAATTATGATAGGTTTTGCTGTATATAATACGACCTTTGATCGATCTAGCTCATAGTACGCATCTCTTTGCAACCAATTTCACGACCGGCAGGATACCTAATTTTTGATAACCTCTACTCAAGTGATGGCAGCTTTAAGGCCGTCTAGAACTACATGTAGCTACATGTACATGTAGTGACTTGTAATGTCCACATGTACTTTCAGCTCGCCTTTTCGCCTTATATCTTGAATCCATTAAAATTAGAGTAGAGGGCCGGGTCTGTGGAAGGGTTCTGGGCTATGTCTCCAACAGCCTAATTATGGCCATGCATGGATGACCCTTTATGCATTAATTTACCTTGTTAAATTTCTAATATCTCTATATGTAAATGTAATACTAGATATATATTGACAGTCTCCTCAGGCATGATACGCTGTGATATAGCACAATCGGATCGAGTTAACTAATTCATTGACCGCCGTTTATTTAGGGCTTGCTGAAATCTCATGATCGATCATGATTATAGTAATGTTCTAGCTAGACTGGTGGTAAGGTTTAATTCAAAGCATATGAATCAAACTCGTATTCACGTGCAAAGTCGAACTGAGACATAAAATATATTAATCAGTCCGACGGATCCTGGCATGATTCAGCTCTGGGCCATGACCATTTTACCTCGTTCAAACAATTAAAAATTAAAAGCAGAATACCCTACGTTGTTAGCAAACATTTCGATTATAGGTTCACGGCTTAATGCCTCTTCATCATATCGATACCAACAAGCAGCCTTGCCCATGCAAACCTCCAACTATATCCCGCCAGGTCAACCTTCATAGCTGGAGACGATAGAAGACATGCAAGGAAACATCTCCGTGAATTACCCAAGTACATGTAGTCAAATGCAGCCTCCGTATTGCAATTTTTATCCATCCCCATGTAGAAAATGGTGGTCTTTAGAAGGTAATTCTACCTGTAGCTATATTTTCGCAACGGATGTCCATGAAGTCAGTCCTCTCATACATAATGCTGGGCCGACGAATACCTGGATCTCGCCTATGTAAATTACATGTAACATCAGCAGTAAGGGGGTTTTGCATCAAATAGAATAAAATACATAATTCCGGTGGAATGATGACACGAACTCTCTGACACTTCAATATCAATAGGGTCACATACATGATGTACTTCAGAGCATACATGTACATACTTATGTATACATATACGTAAATGTACATAATACATACATGTACGTATACCGTGACTTTGCGTAGTGCGTGTTCTGCTACCACCGGAGTGTTGGCACCCTTTTTCCCACGAATTATCTCGGTCGGGAAGAAGCAGCCGAGTACTCATGTATATATATACATGTATGCACGTATATTGCTCAAATAGAGCGTGCAGAGGACAGCAGTCAGTATGCTGTGGTTATTTAGTAAATTGATAAGCATGTTAGCCCCGTCTGCAGTTGACTTATTGGTTTGAATATTGATATTCACAATATATCACTCGATTAGAATCATGCATCAGCTACACGAAGTAGAAATTTCGATCCTGGTACTTAAGTTATCCGGAACAAAAATCAATCTAGAGGGGCTGGCATGAATTGTAACTACGTATACTATAAGCACTTCTAGGCCGGATTCATTCTTGCAATGGCCAATTGGACCAACTTCATAGATCAGGGCACGTACGTAGGATTATATATAGCCACTTCGAACCTAGGCTCGTCCCCAACCCCCCTGCTTCCATCCTTCCAGGCAGCTTGCTGCTAAGTAGGGATGGGTACGAGACTACTCCGAACCTTATTTCCGGAAGCAATCGTCACACTCTATGTGTGCCTAATTGGAAAGGTGAGAAGGGTTTGGTTTGTGGCGTCGGCCGGCCCGTTAAGCAATACATATGTGCATACAACTATAAATTGGTCAAAGGTGTTAATTTCTACCGAACTAGCGACTTTTCAAAACACATGTACCCGGCCAGGGTGGGTTGGAAAGTGACGCACATTTTGGCCTGACAACGCCCAATTACCTATATTTTGGCACAACGCAACACGCCCCCTAAATTCAAATTTTAAGTGCAGGACGTCTCTGAAATGTCTAAGAATTCATTTGGCGTTATTTAAATATGAAATAACCATTCTTCAGGCAAGAAGCCACTATTAGGTAGCCAAAACCAGTAGTAAAAAACCCAAAAGGTATCGATGACAGACCTTTTTTATTTATTTTTTCATTATGAAAGGAATCTGCACATTTAAATTGACCTCAAGATAGACTTGTGTGAAGATTAATTCTCTCATGGTTGAGATATCACCAATTGCAAATGTGCATCATTTTCCGACACCCTGGGTACATCCTTATATAATTATACAAAAGTCATGCATTATAAATACTAGCGAGAATATAAAGTCTGTCCCTTTTGGTACATGTGTGGAGAAGAAAGATTGGTGTCCTACCTACGTATCAAAGCAGACAGACTTTATATTCTCGCTAGTATATATATACCGCAGTAATTCGTCTCATGCTCAACGGACGCTCACATTGACGTTGAAATTCCTTGATCTGGTCATTTGTCTTGAAAACGCCCCCCTAATCTTCCCTCAAACGCGCAACTTGGACGTCTGTGTAACCGTCCACTGAGACGAATTACTGCGGTATATGCTCTGGTTGTATAACGTTGTTAACTGCGTCGTGATCCCGTGATTGCCCAGATCCAAGGGGCGACTCGGAGGATTTTCCAGGCCACAGCGCTCGAGCACTCTGGAGGACTGTGGAACAGAGGAAGGGATAGCTCGCTTTGCAATTTGCACTATGAATATGAGTACAATTCATTGTAATTGAAAATATAGAACCTACTAAGTATATCGAGAGGTTTATACTAATTACTACGCTACGATATATATACGCGTACATCTTATTAATTACTTTAACGCCCGATTTGGTAAAAAAAAATGGGCGTTATATAAGGCTCAGGTAACGCTTATTTAACCGCTTTTGGCAGTTTATTGCTTATTCCGTTTTTACGTCTCCAGTAATAAACTCAAACCAATAAGCATTATCTCAAATAAGGATTATTTCGGATTTGAAGGCTTTTTCGGATTTTAAGGCTTATTAAGGATTATAAGGATTATAAGGCTTATGTTGATTTTTAAGGATTATTTTCAAATAAAAACAAAAAGAAAAAAGCGGGGGGTTGAACCCAGAGTCTTGCAGGTAGCATCTACCTCATGCTACCCACTGAGCCATAGGGGAACTGAAATTCCGGTGCTGGAAGTAATATATGGCCAATATAATGCGAATTTTTAAGCCTTATATAAACCTTATTCGCCGAAAAGCCTTAAAAAAGGCCTTATTTGATGGATAAGGTGTATCTGCTATAAAGACTTAAGCCATTTGATAATAATTATCTCAATCTAATACTTTAAAAATATGCCGTATATATGCCTTATTTTTGAAAACTCTTACCCATGAAAGAGCCTTATCCCAAATTAAGGCTAATACCACCATTGTTTAACAATAAGGCCTTATTTAACGCTTATTTGTCAGTAAATCGTTACTGGAGGCTTATTTTTTCCCCAAATCGGGCGTTAATGTAGGCTCGAATGACCATATAACACAGAGGAACTAAGTGCATGTACATACTTAATTGTATGTACCGCATGATGTAAACTTATAAACACCAATATATATATGGATACGTGTATGTAGAGAATGCTTGAAACCATTGCATATCAGGTGAGAGAGATATAATTAAAGTACGGAAACCCTTATCAAAAAGTTTGATTATTTAGAGTGGATATACCGAGTGAGCCCGAGCTTTGTGCTTTATAATTTAGGATTTGGACCGGACATATATGATTTGAAGTGCTTTAGTAATATTCAATTTCTGGAGTTGAATATCCATATCTCGGCCCCCACACTACCAGGAACCCAAGGAATCGAGGACTAGGACTTGCTACTTGCATGCATTAATATCTATGGCGCCATATTCTACATCTCATCTCATCTTATCAAACGCGCAGGCCCTAAATATTACTAGCTACATGTAGTTGAGGTCATGGCTCTGTGATCGGCCAGGTATTGGCCCAAACTTTATAATTACATGTACCCCAGACAAGATGGCCTATGAGTAAACTAACGACCTGCCACACATTTATGAGCCTGACAGTGACTTGTGGGCTGTTGATCATCATATGATCCACATGACAGAATTAAAAAAAAAAGAAAAAAAAAAGAAAAAGAAAAAGAAAAAGCGAACCAAGATACCTAAGATCTGATTAAAAGATTAAGGCCAAGAGAAACCTTTGAGCGCGTTATGTCAAGTGAAAATGTTTGAAAGCTTATTAAATTTCTTTTGATAGAGGGAGGTTGAATTCCCGGGGCATATTACATACAGCAGACCACTAAATACATGGCCTTTCTTAATCGAACCTCATAGCCATTACCAACTTTTACCGCAGGTGCGCGCCGCCATACCTACGTACTCATAAAACAATAAACCCATAGAACTGCATAAAAACACACCTAACCCCAAAGCCCGGACAAATATTTAATGTTGAAAGGAATATTAAGCTGTCAGGAAAGAAAGAAATGCCGTGCCATATTTTAGTTGCTGGTCTGTGGGATGTGATGTGTGAGGTGCTCGGCCTCCACAACCCGCTCGTCCTTCGACCTGAATGTGCGGTGACCACGAAGAAACCAATACCCCATCACTAAGACAAAAACAACCGCGTAAACAGCGGAGACATAGTTCATAGCTGCAGGTAATGTTAGTATTCTCAATGGAGCTTGTCGTACTAGGGTGATAGTTAACTTACACCCAGCCGTAACAGGTTTTCCGTATGGAAACGAGTACATAATCAGTGTAAATAATGTCCATACAAGAGTGACGATATTGGCCGCGAGGCCAAATCCACCGAGCCAGAAAGGACCGTGCTTGATGTTGTTACGACCCTTAATGAGAAGGAGGATGATGGGAACGGCATAAGAAATGTACAAAAGGACGATGCAAGCGGTAACCATACTGTTTAAGAGGATTTTTCGTTAGTAATTTGTGGCGGTGCAAGTTTTTCAGTCTCGGGATTACCTGTTAAATGCAGTTGTTGATCCAATATATAGAAGACCCAACAAAGCTACGACGAAGCAGCTCATACTGTGGGCATAGAACGGGATACCCATCTTTGGGTGCACCTGGGACCACAAATGAGAGCCTGGCAACCCTCTGTCGCGAGCGAACGACCAGCATAGCCTAGCCTGCCAGGTATGGCAAGCAATCTGACATCCCAATCCAGTGAAGCAGATCATAAATTCCAAAAATGTTGCCCCGGCCTTGGAGCCCGTCGCTTGGTAGTATAGCTCTAGAATTGGGACGAGGGTGCTCGAAAAAACAAGCTCATCTAGGTTGTTCATAGAAAAAAACATAGAAATGGAGTAAATAAAGGCGGTAAAGAAACCGATCGCAACTGTACCCATGATAGCGAAAGGGATATTACGTTCGGGCCTGGGAACTTCTTCCGCCAAGTGAGTCGCCGAATCCAGACATGCAAAAGACCAGTTGGGATTGATCAATCCTACAATGAAGGCGATCGCGTTTGATTCCCATCCAGTATTGTTGACAAAGTTTGCAAATACGAATCTGGCATTTTGTTTCGGGGAAGATGTTGCAAGCACTGTGATGGTGATGGTGATCATGGACACAAGAGAAACGTATAGGAAGAAGCTGCCAACTTTAGGAAGCATTTTCCCCCAGCAGTTAAAAATCCAAGCGAAAAGATTGAAAATCTGGTAGGCAACGAATACCATCCATCTCTCGATCACTCTAAAAAAAAAAAAGAAAAGAAACTGCATTAGAGTTATATAAAATATTTTAAAGATGGGACCCACATACAGATTTGGATGGTTCAACTGGATCATTCCCATTAAAGCACTTCCAATTGCAAGTGCAACACTTGCACAGGTAAATAGACTTCCGGCATATCCAATAGCTCCAGTTGTGTAGGCAAGGAAATTTGCGTACTTTTTGGGAGACAGCTCACTAGCCCAGAAGTACTGACCGCCGGAATTTGGCATAGCGCTGACCAACTCCGACAATGAAATTGCAACACAGCCGTTGATAATCGCAATGATAACAATACCATATACTGTAACAATAGGACCACCGGACGAGATTCCAGTAACCAGAGAAGCAGAAATTCCAAACCATGAGTTTGTAAGTGCAAAGCTCACTGTCATAATGGTCGTTAGAGTAGTTTAGGGAAAGGGGGAACAGAAGGTTCACCTCCGAGCAGTGTCCATTTGCTGAAACCTCGCTCCATCTCTTGGGTATATCCCATCTCTGCCAACCTTGCAGCATCTGAGTCCACTGATAGTTCATCCCGACTCGCATCAACGGATTTGATTTCATTTCTAGGGATATCATCTCCCTGGTAAGGAGGAACGTTCATGATTCCGATTCTTGAGATAAGATCTAACAAAAAACTTTGATCAGATGAAACCTTAGAAATTTGTCTTTTCTAATGTTAACGTTAACTCCTGCAAAGGCAGGGTTACTAAGCACTCCGTGTTGAGGTCGCGTCGAAGAAGCAAGTGACGATTTGTTGACTGCTCTGTAGTTGGCTTGCAGCTTGTACGCGGGAAAGGGTTCAACTTATCAACTTTTCCTTCCCCACTAGTCCGCGGTACCAAACGGGGTAACATGTGTTGAAGCGGGAGCAGACTAGGTAATGGGGCCAGGGGTCAATTGTTGAGACGAAAACTTAACACACTTTCCTCTTCTCGGCCAGAAGATGGGTTGGGGCCAAGGCTATAAAGCGCTACTTCGCAGCGCCTCTTAATCAATTCTCGACATAAAGTTTCGATAACACCTACTCTACTACGCATTACGATAAGTACATGTGCAGTATCTATAACATGTGAAAGTACACAACTCTCGCTAACTACATGTGCGATTGCAATTCTCGTATGTACATACTTAACTCAAGTATAAGACAGTACTCACTTTTGGTGCATAACTGAAATATCTTGGACTCTTCTGCACCAAATGCAATGTGACCACCGCGAAATCCTCTAGGTGTGATGCACTATTCAAAAGGTGTGTACAGTCGTCCGCCGATATAACGAACGTGCATATTCCAAAGTTTTCCGTTCGATACAGTAGATTATTCGGTATAGCAGGCAAGTTTCTATGTGAAATTTAGATTCGGATCACCGAAACCCGTTCGTTATAGCAAATTTGGGGCTTTTTTGGCATTCGTTATATCAGCGAACGACTGTATGGGCATACCTACATATACATATATGACGGTGCGATGATCATGGGGCCATGGAATACTGGGAGTATGGAGCGAGTTCATAAACGAGAAATTGTTGTTCAAACCATACATATCACGCGAGCTGTCTTGCGAAATCTTACCAAAATGAAAACATGAGGTCCAGATAGAAAAAAGCAATTCTTGTGCGCATGCTTGTGGTTCACCACCTACTCTACCTACATGTAGCTTGATAAGACAGCCACTTGAAGTAAAGCCAGGAGCTTCAAAGATCAGATGCTGTTTATCGGGGTGCGGGGTTTTGTAGGCACACTGACGGAAACGCCCTCAAAGATTCCTTGGTAGCGTAAACGCATTATCTCGATCAATCTAGCATTGTGCATAAGCGGGAACCTCAGTAGCAGGCTCATCCATTCTATATTTCACAACTAGCCCTAAATTTAAACGGCAAATTTAAAACTTCACCCTTGCGCGGAAAGTTGTCCGTAGCATCGGAAACATGCTTCACAAAAGAAATTATCATATCCATATCAAAGGTGCACTGTATCCTCAGTATTACTTCGACAATGCCGGGGTATCGGCAAACAATTGTTGGCTCATCCTTTCCCGTGCGTTAGTGAGGGTTGGTCAAGTTTGAGAAGAGATAAGACTCATGCTACGTACCCAGCCGGATATCTTCCGCCGGGAAGATTGTCTACGATCCTACTTGCATCACGAATCTCTTCGATCTCTTCTGGGGTCAGAGTTACATGAACAGCCGCCATGTTCTCCTCAAGATATTTTGTTTTTGTTGTTCTAGTACTAATTGTCAGCGATTTTTCCTATGGGATATAAAGAATATATCTATGCGTACCCAGGAATAGGAATAATATCATCACCCTGCGCAAGTAACCAGGCAAGTGTTGTCTGCCCTGCGGTGATTCCCTTTTTCTTTCCGACTTCGGTTATTATATCAACGAGTTCTAAAATCTTTGGAAAGTTCTCTGGAGAGAAACGAGGAATCTACAATCGATATATTAGCAGGTAAAACCACAGCGTAGAATCCTGAGTGAAGCATGGGTAAAGAAACAATCGTACGAGATTAACCCCATAATGGCTATGAAGACATTGGAATTGTGGCTTAAGAAAATAAAGTAAAAATATATAGGGATAAGGGGGTTATAGCATTCGTTTTGAAGAGTTCTCACCTGTTTTCTGAAATCATCATCATCAAGGTCATCAAAGCTTCTATAAGCACCGGTCAAAATTCCCCGCCCCAGAGGGCTATAGGCAACCACAGTGACGCCCAACTCGCGGCAGGCCTGCAAAAGACCAACTTCTTCGCTCTGTGCGTCAAGGAAAAAAGGCGAATATTCAACCTGGACCGCAGCAATTGGATGGACAGCATAAGCTCGGCGCAGCGTATCGGCACTGCATTCAGAAATACCAATCTGTTTCACTTTCCCTTCTCTATAACAAGGACATGAGCATATATACTCGCATTATAGGGGGTTGGTGGTGGTATGCATACTTAACAAGCTCGGCCATTGCTCCAACTGTCACTTCAATGGGAACTTTTGGATCCACACTGTAGGCACCATAAATTAACCAATACTGCTACAAAATATGGAATGCGATTCGAAAGTCATTACTGACCGATGGACGTAGAGAAGGTCAATTGTCTCGACACCAAGCCTCTTCAAAGAACTTTCGCAACGTTCCTTAACAAACTCCGGGTCGCCTCGAACACCTTCAATACCGCCAGAAAACCCGAACTTTGTTGCCAAAAAGATCTCATCTCTTTTTCCGGTGCGCTTGAACCACTTTCCAAGCAATTCTTCGGAGTCACGGTATACATCGGCAGTATCCCAGTTTGTTGCACCAATCTTAAGAGCGTGGTCCAAAACCTCGAAACGCTCTTCATCAGACTTCACGGCACCGTAGAAAGCGCTGAGGCCCTTTATAATGTCAGTAAAAGATCTAAATTAATCAAAGGTGGAGGTGCGATCATTACCATTGTGCCGAATCCGATAGCGGGCACCTGAGGGCCATTCTTACCCATTCGTCTAGTTGGAATTGCCATTGTAGTATGTTTTTTGAGGCCTGTAAAGAGTCTTTGATGTTGTTTGGGATATTTTATCTTGTGATGATTGCGATTGAATGTAAATACCGGAAGGAAGACGTCGAATTTATACCATTCCTAAGATCGAATAGAGTAGTTCGCCATTGTGACGACATTTGGAGATATCGGGAATTACAAAGCTTTGATGGGACGGACCGAATCCAACCGATTCCCTGAATTTTCGGAGTTAAGCTTAACCTAAACCCACGTTGTTGATACCGAGTGTCTGACTGTGGTAAGGCTTTAAGCTTTGGCAGACGGTGCTCTTGGCGACCGCTGGTGTAACGGCTCTAGGTGTTTGCTTGGGGAGGCGACGACTAAATCATATCTAGTCACTCATGCTCAGCAGCATGTTCACATCGCTCAAAGATTCAGTTGAACACGTGCACGCAAGAAGTGAAGTGAGTGTGTTAGAGATTGCGGTCTCGGCTTTACATGAACCCCGATCGAGAGGATCGACAAACAATATTGTAGGTACATAAGTACTCTACATACTGATTATATTCTTGGGCAATACTAGAGTAGTAAGTGAATGATAATTTAATTTATGGACTTTGTTTTGGCTCGCTTCTAGCTTTCCGGATCCCTAGAACATTCGAATCAATAATACCTACATGTACAGTCAAAGCTCGCTATAGCGGTACTCCTTATAAAGGTAATCTCTCTATTAAGGTAGAGGGCTTCGGTCCCTCTTATTTTTGGTGAGCTGGACTGCAGCTGGTAGATTGGCTAGGAAGCATTTTGGTGTGATACCCTTATACAGTATCCGGTAGAATTATTGCGAAAGTCAGAACTAAAAGAGTGGGTTTCTTGGTCCGTGCTCACTGCAAAAATTCCTTTAAGGGCCAATGGGACTATCTGGTCACGGAAAACCCACTTTCGCATTAATTCTACCAGAATCTGTACAGTTTCCGGCGAAAGTCAGAGCTAAAAGAGTGGATTTTGTTGGTCTGTGCTCGTAGCAAAAATCTTTTAAGGGCCAATAGGACTATCGGGTCACGGGGAACCCACTTTCGCAATAATTCTACCGGAAACTGTACTCGCGCGGCCGAGTTTCGACTTAATCACATGACCTATGAGCAACGCAAAAACCTGTTAAATAGCGTCACGTGAGTAAGTCGAAACTCGGCCGCGTCCCATGGTACGAGACTAGACCGCACCTTATGTACTTTATCATCACCACCATCACGAGCTTATCATGACTGAATAGCGCATGTAATTCCTATTTCATCATCATTTTCTTAATTATAATCACGGGCATATGTGTGCCTAGAAACAAAAAATTTATTTTTCAAAAGTATATCCCAATTGTTTAAAGCCCATACTAGGAGGATGAGAATTGATGGATCGGTGGATGAAACAATAACTGGTGATCTTTGGTTCCGAAATGCTTCTTCACAAAAATATGATATTTAGGGGAATGGCCTTTCCCTCAATACCACAAGAATGCCGGATTTTTGGAAATGCGGAAGTACTGGGGCAGTATAAATATATCACCCACACTGCGCAATCCAGGGAATACATAGATTATATAATGCAGTATTGATACGGCATCGATAGAGCATTTGCTGAAAGGCGGCTTTACTCGCTCGACAACCGGAGTGCTACCCGATTTTATGGGATGGGCGTAGTACCACCGTACTAACCCCCACCCGTCTTTTGGTATTGATAGTGGCTGTAGTCAATACAGTACCCTTTTCTTTCTTCGAGGAACCGTTACGATTATCTTTATTTTTAAAAAATCATTTATATTCTCTCTCTGAACCGGTAAGTTCACTACATATATTAAACGGTACCAGAACTCGGTCCGGCGCGTACCGCTATACCGAGCTTTGAAGTATTACGGTCACGTCACGTTTTATTACTACATATATGTAATACTAGTAGTCTTGGCATCACGCCTATCCGTTATTCAGAGCGCAGATTTATGAGACTGAATTATATTAAGCGAATCGTATTAGAGAGTTTTAGCTGCGTCAGTTGAACAGAAAGCCGGAGAGGTTGAACAGAAATTCTAGCCGTTTTAGGCAAAGACTTGCCAGAGTTCAGCCAATAAGAGGTACATACAGGACTT